TTTGCTGTGTAGCAAACAACTGTCATACTGATCCCGTTAGTTATTTTGTTCATTTGATAGCTTTTTGGCCTTTGGAGCACTATAAATTGATACACATGGGTCTAACCAGTGTTCGGAAAAACTCAGGGAGGTTCAATGAATGAGATTTGAGAATGATTTTCCGAATACTGGGTTTAACACAGTCAAAGAGTAATTTAGAGCAAGTTTGAAAATAAGATATGTCCAATGTGATCCTGGGCACATGATATGATTTAATGGGTTTTCAAGTCAGAAACTGGCCACTTCCCTTGTGGTACAGGGAACATGTTGATCCTGGACGCTCAATATGACCACCATTGATCTTTTTTTTAATTCTCAGGCGATTTGAGGCATCCCATGATGAGATTAGCATGATTCAGGATGATAATAGACTCATGACTCATATTCACTGGAGGGACCACACAGTACCTTCTATTTTATGGGTCAGTAATTACTAAGAAACACGGCTTACTTTATTTCGTCACATACGTACATACACACATACAGTTCCCCCTAACTCTAAAAAAACACACATTATTTGACCTCGTCGAGCTGAGTTGATTAGTATACGAAACTCGGCCCTCCGGGCCTCAGATCAACCGTTGGTTTTTCAAGCGATATGTATACAGTTTTTTTGTAAGAAGGGTAAAAAATGTGTTCCATTGAATAGATAGCTTTTTTTTCCTTGATTTGTTTTCCGTCGATCTTGTTTTCCGTGCTGAGCACCCATGCTACCGACGCCAGGGAGGCAGCTCCCACACCTGGACCCTACCTATCGACTCATCAACTCATGAACCGGGGACCAACGGCTTTACTTCCCTTCCGAAGGAAGGCGTGATCACAGATGTTATGTCTCAGAACATCCCGGCGGTGCCGACTGGGATTGAACCCCGGCCTGCTGGCGTGAGAGGTAACCAAGCTTACCACTACACCACCGGCGCCGCTGAATAGATCGGTCTTAACTATTTTTTTATTAATTAGGGTAGAGTGCTACTTCGTCGTAATCGCCGATTTCCGTTCTATCGATCAGAAAAGATCAATAATATCAACGATTTCACCGTGCACAAATCAATAATACGTTTGTTCCGATGCGTTAGTTCATTAGCTACAGCATAAATCCTATTAGAGCGCATTATATAAATATTTACGCTCATTGTTCTCAAAACAAAAGTAGCGGTCCTCGCGAATCCCCTTTGTCTACGTTTATCCGTAGGACGAAGAAAATCTAATTGCGTTTCAATGCGTTAGGACAGAATAGAAACTCGTAGGACGAATTTAGAATCAAGAAACAGTATTAGATTTTAAACAATATTGGAACATTTTCTGACTCTTTATCAAATCCAACGGTACGTATGGAAAGGTGAATAAATTTAGAACTCATCTTTGACAGAAATATTAAATTTTTTGTTCGAACCCGTTAAAAAAAAGAGAGGTAAAGCGCGGGTTGTGCTAGTAGGACAGGAATTAGATCAAAAACCCTACTTTACGTTTGATAGCAATCACCTTCTATTCAAATATTAAAAAAAAACACATAATTAACTGTTTTATTCCTCGCGAAGAGAGTTCGTGATAGTTTATGTTTGGCTATTTCTGACGTTAATATATTTCGTGTCTGGATCTCCTTCCCAGGTCGTAAGTAATTATGTAAACAAATAATTTAAATGTAAATTTGTCGGAACTGCTAGCTCACCCACGCAAAGTACCACTACCATGAGATAGAATATTTTTTTACCTTTCTGTTGATAGTATTAGTTTGCGTGGTTGTTTATAAAAGTACTTATGACCATTTGGCTACTCATCATTGGATTTCAAGATCTGCTATTTTTTTGCGCGGTTCGTTTGAAAAATTATGTAAATTTCTGCAATATATTATTAACACATTATTAACACTAGATTTACCGTAAATTTATAAGATGTTCTTCTTCATCTTCTAGGCTTATTAATCTTAAGTAGCGAGTGTTTTTCCGGCTCTCAATTTAGTGTTCTAGATGCACTTCCACAGTTATCAATTGATAGCTATCTATGCCAATCATTGCATGAATTTGTATATTGTGTGGCAAGCACAATGATGCTGTATGCCAGGGTTGCTTCCACTCACTTCGCTATAAATTAATGATTTTCGGAATAATGAAACCATTAGATGATATTTTGTACTGGCAAATGACAAAAAGAGATTTGAAAGTGTTTTCCACATAAAAGTTGTCACTTTTTAGTTTCCGAAGGTCTCAATCCGCGATTTTAAGATTCGTGAGCACTCGCTCCTAGTGAACACTCATGCATAATAAAATCACTGATAGTGACTCTCTGAACGTGAAGCTTACAGGTTTTATGTGTTACTTCTTATTGTAACTTACAAGTACAAAATATCATTGTAACATCTAATTGTTATAGCGAAGAGATTGGAATCAACCCTGATCTATGCCCAGGGAAGTCGAGAAAATATCCAACCCGAAGGATTTTCTTGGCCGGACAGGGCATCGAACCCACCGCCTCCGGCTTGGTAATACCGTACATTTATTCACTAGACTATCTGAGGCCCTGATATTTCATGTAAATTTATGCACAATTTAACATTAAACAGCAGTGTTAGCTCAGCTTAGGTTAGACCGACTGCATACCAATGTTTTTTTTTCCTTGATTTGTTTTTCGGCTATCTTGTTTTCCGTACTGAGTACCAATGCTACCAACGCCAGGGAGGCAGCTCCCACACCTGGACCCTACCTATCGACTCATCAACTCATGAACCGGGGACCAACGGCTTTACTTCCCTTCCGAAGAAAGGCGTGATCACAGATGTTATGTCTCAGAACATCCCGGCGGCGCCGACTGGGATTGAACCCAGGCCCTTTGGAGTTTGAGGCAGTGCATTGATCAATATCAATGAAATTGCTTAATGAATCAACTGACTGGGGCTGGAAGTAACCGTCCATTCTGTACGAGGTTCAGTGACTCCATATTTTAAAGATCAATAACGGTGCCGACCACGTCCTTGCAATCAAGTGTGAGTAGGAAAGGAATATTAGAGTGGCATTTGCTGTATTAGAGATTAAACACACCTCTGCATCCCCACAAAGGTCACATACCAGGAGATTTTGTTAGTAGTTTGGGTTCGTTGGATCAGAAATCACCTTGATCAGTGATTCGATCGTAGTTTCAACATAATGTATTGTTTTCCGAAATAGATTTGTTACCTAAAATTATTTGAATTTTAGTGCCGTGATTGCGCTTAAACCAACACCCAAACGCTGATGCGCGCTTTCAAACAAATGACTTTGAACAGTTGTAACCTCGTAGAGTCAATATTTAATCAATCTGGTTATTATCAGGTTGTGCTTTTAGTTGATCAAATGAACTGAACCCTGAACTATGTCATCTGGATAAGCACCATATTGATTTATTTACTGTTCCAAACTGCTTCAATTACCATGCTTCGGAAGTTTGTTTTGTCATTAAATATCGTCCGTCTTCACCAAAATGGGCTAACAATCAAAGGTCAAGCTTATCACACCACACCGAAGAATAGTTGGAACGCACATTCAACGTCTGTTTATGGTATGACGTTTAGAGTAAACCCTCCATTTACGGGTGGATGATAATTTATGCAATCGATTGCAATATCTACACGCAAAACAAATATCTCTTACATCCAACGTAAGATTGGATTTATTACATCTTCTGCATATGTCTCATACAACAAATGTAATGGCAGTTATTGTAAGTTTTGAAAGCTCTCAATTATCAATTATTAATAAATTCTAGAAGCAACGGAATTAGCCAAAAATAAGAAGAAAATTGTATTCCTGATAGTTTAATGTAGTTTCGTTATGAATATAAGAAAACAATAAATGTGAAATGTAATTGTTTCTTTCCACCCTTTTTTTAAAATGAAAGATTTGTTAAAGAAAAAAAAATAACTAGAGTACCAAACATAAATATGAATCAATTAAAAATTTCAATTGAAGACCACTCCTATATAAGATACCTTTCTTCCATCCATCGACTTCTGCATACAACAATTCATGCTGACTTATTCGCAAATAAATTATAATTCCAGCATGCTGTCCCTAATTTAACAGTGGTGTATTAGTATCTGTCTAGAGCTGCTTGGTCATTACTGTTTGAATGTCTAAACTTTACTCAATTATGAATGCTTATGTATAAAAAAAGACACCGAACCATTGTTTTTGCCGCACAGCAACTGAGAATTGCAAATCAGTCACTAATTCTTTCGCTGTCTGTCATTAAGCGAACCGTTTGAGGCTTTGTCTGATTCGTCTGTTAGAAACCATCCATGGAGTCATAGATCCACAATTTGGCAATCTTATGATGTAAGGCTTCTGCATGGCAATAGTTTGCCGGCCCCGACCAGAAAGCATTTGATTGTCCGACAGCTCGCAGTTTGGAGTAGAAAGGTATAAGAATACCCACGCTGCATCGACTGCCCGGTTTTGGTGTGGTGAAACATCGCCAACGACGCGGACTGAAATTCATGTTTATGACCACCACGCTGCTAATATATTTATACGCAATGCATGGAAAACATCAAGCTCCTCGTCGTATGGCAAATTAATGCACGAAAAAACGACTTAACAGAATTTGCCATACAGCCCACTATGAAGGTATGCTTCGACTGCATTGCGATCCCAAAGACCATAATAAAGTACTTGTGAATCTTCTCCTGCCACCCGTCGTCGGCACATAAACAACACACAGGCCTGTCGGGCGCCGATATTGCAAAATGGACAAATGTTCCACTGGTTTAACCACAACATGCACCGTTCTTTCATTGAAATGGTCTAACTACGAAGAAAATGAAATTACTAGAGCATAATGATTATTTGTGACTGCACTAATGTGGTAACACTGAAAAGCTCGTTTGCCATTTGAATTTACGTCGTTATCTATATGTATAAATTTGTTATCGTATTATTTGATTTGTTGCTAAACGAGTGTTTAATTTGCTTTTTGTTTTTCTTTTACAGTTTCCTGGACGACCTGGATCGATTGGGAGCGAAAGATTATCAGCCTACTGAACAGGATATTCTGAGGACACGAGTCAAAACCACCGGTATCGTGGAAGTGCATTTTTCCTTCAAAAATCTAAACTTCAAGTAAGTAATATAATAACAATTTTGGTCCGGACACTTTTTAAAGTTGATTATCAATGCATACCATGCTCAAAATAGAACGTAAATTTTAACATTGTAGCATTGGTCAGAATCATCACACATGCTTATTATGTTGAAAATTAGACATAATAATCAATCAAATGTCCAGATAAACGAATCGTAAACAGTTTTCGATACTCCTTTCCGAATATTTTCCTGTCCCCATGGACGTGCACAGATTTATTTTCTATTCTAAAACCAAAAAGCCCAAGTGAGCGAAGTTTGTACTGCAGAGTGTCCTCGATCGGGTCTCTGTTGAATATTATTTTGGCTTGTCAATATTGTTGTATGCATACAACATATCCACATGCCCAGTGGAGCCCAGTGGGCATTGCCCACTCCGGTGGCAGAAACGTCATTCACCAAAATTTTGCTTGAAGCCAAAGTTGATGGTTCTTTGGCTCGAATCTAAGACAGCTGATGCAAACATTGAGAAATTATGCTCCGTCCACATAGATGTTTGATTTGTTGCGCGATAAAATAATCGTGATAAATGTTCAACAAGCGCTTGCATGTAGGAATTAAATATTAATTATATTAGTTTTTAAATTAGGCAAGCTAATCATGAAAAAATCAAGTTTCATTAATTATTATTCACATAAGATTTTTTAACGCATACGTGTCGTCAATGCACATATAAACATAGCATAAAAACTGTATGCTACAGTGCTGACACCACCAATGGTGGTGGCTTCAGCAACCCTCCTTCTTGGCAGAGGATTGAACATGCCGTGATTCATATTCTTCATAAATTCCGTTCTGGTTTACCGTTTTATTTATTTATCTAGGGTAAATCTCGGCTTCGGTAACAATTTGACTGTTTTCGACATCCAAACTATAAACGTTAATTTCACTATATTTTCCTATCAAAACACTTTGCTGAATGTATTCAAACGATTACATTTTACGACTGAGCAATCCAGTTACGCACTCGAAAATGTGGTTGATTTTGAGTTGCTGATAATTGAACAGCTGGTTAACACGCAGGTCAAATGGAAAGGTTGCCGAAGAAAAAGAGGCTGCCGACAATAGTCACATTCACCTGAGAAGTGTGGAGCGTAGTAAAAACTTTTTAAAACCCGTTTTGAACTATTCTGTCGATTGGAATGGATAGAATAGCAAGCAGCAGATAAATTTTAACAAACAAATACGTCATATGTGTGCGTGACTCCGAGAAATTGCTAATAGAAGTGTGGCCGCTGCTTAGATTGATGAGAATAAGTTAATTCCCCTAGTTATCTCATCTGACTATATGTCGTCTTAATGAAATTTAGATATTGGATGGCGAAAAGCAAAAGTGGCACAATACATATTTAGAAAATATAATTAAATAAGCTAAAGTCGAAGCATAAACATATATAATTGGCATTGTCCAGGAAAACCTCGTCGTCAAGTTGAATACGAAGAACATAAAAAAAATATGTTGGTAGCACTTCAGCTTTGAATGCAATGGAACACTCACCTATTGCATAATGCAATTTTTGCTCATCATTCTACGTCGAGTTGATGCATTTTTCAATTCAGTTCACCTCTCGTGTACACTCCGTTGAATTCGGATTCGAAAATCAGCCGTATAAATGGTGATATCGAAAACGTTGTAGAAACGGTTGAAGTTCGTATACATGAGTTTGATTGGATCGTGCAGGCCATAATTTGCTACGTGCGCGCTAAGATGTAGGAAATCCCTTTTTGGAATGATTTCTCTGGAGCATAAATTTGTAATTCTCCTAGCATACTAGGAAAGTCGATACCACCCAAAAATGCTTTAGCTACAAACAATGCCTGAGCGAAAGTGCGTCTACGTTCTAATGTATCAACGCCCAAAAGTTGACAGCGATGTTCGTAGGGCGGGAGATTGACAGGATCGTGCAATGAACGTTTTTTTAGCTTATGAAAAATGCATACTTTTGAAATATTTTTTTAGCTTATGAAAAATGCATACTTTTGAAATATTGAAAACCTTGGGCACACATCAAACAATATTTGAGACCTTTTAAATCGTTTACTGTGCATAAATTAAAATAAAAAAATCATGAACATAAAGTTCATTTTTTTTCTGATACAGGTTGCCTTACGATTTTTTTTTGATTTAGTGAATGCCGTTCGTTGAGTGTTCCTGGTTTGATCTTCGAAAACAAATCGTATGAAAAAAAATGTTCAGTCTTATAACAAGTTATAATAATTAACTACAAGAAATATGTCATCAAAATAGCCTTATAACATGTTAAGCCAGGCCAGCATTTTACTGCGACATGATTACCTGAGATTTGTAAATACTACTATCGAATACTGGGAACAGTGCTGCAAAATCTTGACCATACACGATGATACTGACAAAACAGCTTCGTTCGCTCATTCGAGCTAAAAGTCAGCTTCAAGGGAACCCATGTCAATTGTCAGTGACAATCCTGTCAGTGACAAACATGTTCAGTAATGAAATTAAATAAACTAAGCAAAACAATTCCATGGAACAGTTAAAGTGAACAAGCATCTATCTCGTTAACTGCCGGGATAACAATAATGTGACACAGAATGCTCTAAATTACACTATTTGTTACCAGGTGAATCTTTGACGATGTTTTTACTGAGAACATTTCTTCCAGTGACAATGCCAAATATAAAGATGATATCACGTGACGTCTTTCAATTACCATGACAAATCTCAGCACTGACTGGGAAGAATTCATATATACCAGTGGACTCTGAGGGGAAACAGTACAAACAAATAAGGATCCAGATTTGACATGTCAATCCGATGTCGAATCTTTGTCGGATCAATTTTAAGAAGTTGTTGACGGTATATCGGGCTCATGTCTGACGAATGTCTTATTAATTTCGGGTCATTACGAAGTTGGTATCTGTTAAAAGCGTAGTGGTGTCGAACATAAATAATGTTCATTGGATTGACTCAGGATTTCCGTCGGAATGTCGATCAAATTTCAATTTGTCCCCATGTTCTAGGGGCTGTCCATATACCACGGGGAGAGTTTAGTGTCCATGGTCCATACAGGTTTTTTTTTATTCGTATGGATGATTGTCGAGGAGTATTATTATTATTTATCTTTTTAGGGAGTGGCACGTAGGAGGAGTAGAGGTTTGAAACCTCTAAAACAAATTTCATGGGCCGTCCCTTTCACTCAATTGAATAACTTCAAGCTTTTCTCAATTGAAGATGCAAATCGTAATCCTCTATTCGAATGAGGTCTTTTCAATAGTGGTTCGTTGCTATACTAATTGTTGTTTAATATTTCCAATTGAATAAGAATTGGCAGCAATAATCTCATTAACTTTAACATTAACTTAGCGAATTATTTTATAATTTTTTATTTATCACGGTTGATATTATATTTTATTTTCTCAATCTATTTCCAGACTATTCGACGTCGGTGGACAGCGATCGGAAAGAAAGAAATGGATCCACTGCTTCGAAGACGTCACCGCCATCATTTTCTGCGTTGCCATGTCAGAATATGATCAGGTGTTACATGAAGATGAAACAACGGTAAGTGAAATTGATGACCCCTTTACCATCCGTCGTTGAACGCTATAAGTGTGACCTTCAATGACACACATAAAACAGTCTATTTCTCACGCTGCACCGGGTGGGGATCAGATTTAAACAAAACAAAGATCGATTGCATAAGCTACCAAAGAGTAACGAAACAGTGTGTAGAATAATATTCATTATTTGATGTGTATCACTAGCTGTTGTGCTGTGCAACGTGATGGTAATCTAACGTACCATTGTTTGCATACCATATAACGATGCCATGAGCAAGGTGTTTAAAAGTGCGGCATTGAAACCTGATCGTAATAATGAATGTGGCTGCCAAAATGTTAAACACGTGTTCCCTTCCCTTTGAGTTTGTGACTCGTAGGAACATTTTATGTTATTTTCTTAAAACCCACATGTATTGTCCTACACTCGCAAAACTTATTTCCTTGAAACAATTGACATGCATGACCAGATTCGTTTTCGAATTATAGAAATAATGTATTTTACTTAATATTTAAAACTTGTGACGTACTTGTGGTACATAGTTAAAATAACATCACGTTTTTATATGTAAAGAGAATTCAAACGTGCCTAGAAAATGAAAACCAAATCCTCTGCACCACCAATTAGGTAAACATTAATAATCTCTAGGTATTGACAAAACCATCACCGAATTCACAACAAAATGCTAAAGCTAACACCTACTGCGTGTCTTTTTTTATTTTAGCAGAAAATTAGTAATTTGATAAGTGTTAACAAGTACAACCATTTGTATTTCAACCAACGCGTTATGTGTTTGTACTTAAAATACATGGAATAAGCCATGTCGCCGAACGATATCACCAAGATATTAATTCCACAAAGCAAACCATCTTGCACAACCCCCGGGTGACTCACTCAATAGTAAGCGTTTAGCGGCTATCCTTTGTGTGTTGTTCAAAAGTTCAGGTTGCAACCCTCAGTGGACGTGACAATTGCACCCAGATTTCTAAACATCAGAAGGTACACTGTTTTAGTATCAATTTATATGGATATTACCTTTTCATTGAGGCCAGACCTTGTACCGTTTTAGCGAGCCCGTGTCTAATTTACATCTTTTTTGACAGTCGCTTATGACGCTTCACGCTGGTCAAATTCGCAGATTTTTATTTTCTTAAGTTCAAGCTACGATGTGTAACATTTGTAGCCATCGTATCCAACAATCGTGCTGCCTTCCAGATTGCACCGAGAGTAGCTCTATATGGTTGAATGGGTAAACATGACGCGTTTAAATTGAATCATTGTGGTCAATGCGTTAATGGTTTTCCATTGAGTACGTATGCTCGTTGGTTGCTTTATGATCTGTTGTACTTATGCGTGTGGCTTACGATGAATTAACACAAGCTGTCCATCGTCATGTCACACAAGATTGGTCATTATTTAATGGCATGAGACGGATCTCATTTGCAACAGGGATCATAAAAATAGAATGGTCGGCGACATAAATCATGTTGCACATTTTTCCAGCTTCAGTTCACCAGCTTATCTATCAATTCAACTATTTCTAAGAATTACTGATAATTTCTGGTTGTAAATAATAGGAAAATTTCCTTATCGTTGACACAATTTCTTTTAATCAAGCTCGTTCCTTCTAGAATCGTAAGTGTGTAAGTTTGGGAAATGCGTAAACTCGATTACACTTCAATGGACCCTGGTATTTTTTCAATAGTGTAAATGTTTACGATGCGCTATGTAAATACCCCTATTGTTTATACAAAACCTTTTTTTATTTATGGAAAATACGTTTCGAACGTAAACGAGAATAAGGGTGATAGGATACTGAACGGCATCCGTGAACTACATATGGGGACAGATTGTTTGCGGGTATACACGAGCAAATCCAAACCATGAGATCCCAATGCCGCTGAATGACCCGGAAGTACGGCGAAAAGCCAAAATATACCATATGTGCCAAAAGACCAGAATCCGACAAATCTGCCACAATGCCGTCCTATCGAGGATTTTTACGGTCTATTGAGTTCCATGGTATACAAGTATAATTGGAAGGCCAAGGACACCAAGCAACTCACCAACATGATCAAAAGCTGCATCCGGAAAATCGATGTGGCAGCCATTCAACGGTCATGTTTCAATATCATGGCTAAGGTGGGCCACACGGCGGACCATTCATTCTCATTTTTTTTTGTGGACACCCGTTAGTCACTTTAACACATTTTAGATCCTCTGGGCTTGTCTGAGGATTTGATTTCTGCTCGTGACTTTTAGCATGTGCGGCATGGATGCTAATCACTTCGTTTGGTTGTCCCTTGCATCATGTAATATTTTATGATCCTGGACATTTAGTAGGTTGCTGTATTTTGGAAAAAAAAAAATTGGTGACTGAGCCCTTCCACATTGAAGACGCTTAAGTTTTCACAACGTCGCACTACTATGCATGTGATTTTCCGTTATGTGCTATATCTGTAAATACTGATCATCTAGAACAGTGGCTCTCACATTTTTGTTGATTGCAGCCCACTTTGAGAAATTCCGAGAGAGTAGGCTGTGCTTTTGAACAAGTTTGACGTGCATTTTCTCCGCTGTGATTTTTTTGACGAGTAAAAAATAGGAAAATATATTTCGCCATATTTTTAAAACAGTATTAAATATCAACCATCACACCCCGGTCCAGAAGCCGTTAACAAGGAGTTCAAGAAGGAGCTCCGAAAACAAACTTCCCCACTAAACCCCCGACGTTCTTTCATTTGCGACAACGCCACGGAGAAGCGACCCACAAGTGCTGTTCCTGGGGACTCCTTTAGTGACATTTTATATTAGTTGTATCTGATCTGATATGAAAATATGAACACTACAATAAGATCACAGATCACAGACAGGAAATCCTCCCTGATTAAAATGTATCACCATGAATCAAGGTGTATTCAAGCAGAGGCAACATGTTAATTCAGTTGAAAAGTACCATCAGTACGAGGTGGAGAAAGCGGTCAAGGGCTTGGTGGGTATCAACCTGATTCAAGCACGAAAGGTGAACCAGATGCGCCATGCAATTTCATCCATTGCTCATGGATTCATTTGGTGAGTTCGTTCCTATTTATTTATTTACTTGTGATGATGATGGTCAACAGTGTTGAATAGTCACAAACAGCTGAAGAATCTGGTTTGAGCTTTCCATTTATTGAATTTAAATAGTTGTAAATTTAACTGCAAAGGCATAGACAAACAAAGATTTTGAGGGAACTATCATTTTATGTTCTGTTTATAGTCATACGTGCGCGAGTGTGTGTGTGATTTTTTGGCAAGGAGATTTTTTTAAAAGGCTGTGCGTGTGTGTGTGTGTGTTTTTTTTTAAATAAGGTTTAGGAAAGCTTCAAGAAGCCTGGCTTGTAGTGAAGTTGGCACGGTGTGGTATCCACTAGTTGCCTAGTGCAGCTCCACTAATATTCATTGTGTGTGTGTGTTTGTGTATCTATTATAAATCACTACAATCAGCATTAATTTACCAAAACGATCCCTGCTGCAAACCTTTCCCCACATCCAACATCCCAGTGATTTCTCATGAAGAAGAATTCTTGGTTTCCTTCACAGTGAGTATCACGTCAACACATTGCTTCCAATTCCCTATTTGACATGCATTCGGACACGGCCGGCGCTGGTATTGCTAAACATTAGATCTCCAGAATTTTTATGCATTGAGGATGAATGTTAGTCCCAAACATCATCTGTTGGTTCTCTGTATAAATGCAGCTAATCTGGCATTAACAGAGCAGCAACCGTGGGCGGACAATCATGCTCATGCTCATGCAGCCCACTTTGAGAAATCCCATAAGCTCGTGACCCACCAAAACTGAATCCCACCGATGCCCGTAGATATTTTCACAAATTTTCTCACACACACACGTCTCTTACCGATGCTATGTGCTTATCTCTCAGTATCTTCTAACATTCTCATAAAACTGAATACCAATAATGTTGTAAGGCCATATTCACGTTAAAATCTCATAAATAATTTTAAAACGTCAAAAAAATTCATTCATGTTTTCCTAAAACCTACAACACAGAACTGGCATTTAAACAGCTTAAAAATGGCTTATACTTTCAAAACTGGCATTGAAGCGCCAAAATGGTCGTGGAATTGCCAAAATGTCCTAAAAACGGCACAATAGTTCTGAATTTAAATGATAGTAACAATCTTGAAAACAACAAAACAACCTTAAAACGCCCAAATATCCTATTAATTTTTTAAAACATATGATCAAGTTATCTGAATGTCTGCAACCCACCTGAGGGTAGTGTTGCTGCCTTAGGAAAAGTTGTTCAGGTGACCAAAAACTTTCCAGAATGGTGGACACACCCGAAATAGTACCACCGACGAACCGACATGCCACTGGAGCATTTCGTTTGTCCGCAATTCAATTTGGCAAATGATCGATTCGATCTGTCAAACGGGCGATCAGATCTGTCAAATGAGTCAATATGAATTTAACGTATGTTCGGGTCCTTGCTCATGATATGACGTGATCTTATGACTAGATGGCGGTAGTGTTTAACGTAATTTAAATTTGGCGTCTCGGGCAAGATTTTGAAATTAGCTTCTATGAGCTGTCACGGCGGTTCGTCGGTGATAGTACTTCCGTCACGAAAAGTTGCTGCGACTTGATTGTGACTGAAATATGTCGCATAGAAATTTCCAAACCCATTTTGCGACAGGTTTTGTGCTATTGTGGATTAGTTCACAATTTGCTCGCAACTTGGAGCTAATGACGGATCGTTGATTCACAAATCTTTCAAATATATTTCATTTAAATAGGGAAAATGACGGCTTCGGCATGACAGACTATTTTCGGAAACCCAAATTCAAACGCTAATTTCACTGGATTTTCTTTTCGAAAACACTTCCTTGAATGCATTCAAACGATTCTTTAGGCTTTCAGCTTCAATTTGATTATATTTTTACCACTGAGAAAAATCAATCTAGCAGGGTTTTCTTGAAATGAAACACACGCACTACAAACTGCTGCTGATTTCGAGTTGCCGATGAAAGCACAGCTGTTTAAGACGCAGCTCAAATAGAAAGGTTGCCGAATAAAAAGTCGCTCTCACTAGAGAAGTTTGAAGCTTTGTAAAAGCGTTTCTGCACAGAAATTCAAAACAACCCAAAATTAAGTTCTTTTCACTCATCTCCCATGTTCCGTACGATAAGCCAAATTTGGGTAAACCGGCTCAAAGTAGTTTGCATTTAAGGACGGCAAAAAAAATTACCCATCGCTAAGTTATTTTCAATTTTTTCTACCCAAAATTAAGTTCAATTAACTCAAATTTGGGTATATCGCATATTACTCAATTTTGGCTTCTTGTACGGAACTAGACGGTTGAGTCGAATCTTTCGTTCTATTTTTGACAACAAAAGCGAGAGGAAATGAAACGGGCAGAGGTCAAATAACTCAAATTTGAGTTTAAAAAACCCAAGCGGTGGGTAGTTTTGTTTTTCTGTGTGAACAGTTTTTGACAATTATTTCGACTGAAATTGTTAGAGCAGCCGACAGCAAAAGATTGTAAGCAAACCAATACTGCATATGTGTGCGTTCATGAGAGAAAAATGCTATAGAAAGATGGTCGCTGCTTACACGGTAAGGAAAAAGTACCCAAAAGTAAGTTCTTTTCACTCATCTCGGCACTATAGTGCAGGAACCCAAAAGTAGGTAAAGCGGACCAAAGTAGTTTTCATTTACTTGTGTGCAATTCGTATGGAATTTTCCACTAGCTTTCTACCCAATAGTAAGTTAGTTGTACCCAAAAGTAGGTAAATATGATTATACTCAACGTTGAGTTCCCACACTTTACTACCCCTGTTGGGTGGTTTTGCTCCTCCGTTTTTGACAACATTAGAAGGCGAAAAGGAGACAAACTAGTCAAAAGTGGGTAAAAGTGAACTGACCATTGGGTACTTTTTTCTAACCGTGTAGGTTGCCGAGAATACGCAAATTCCCCTACACGAAACGAAAATCAATTATTATATTCATGTGTTTCACTTATACATTTTTGCCAAAACATCAGCCTTATACATTCCATAAGACAAACCACATATGTCCTATAAGAATGCATAAAAGGTATGTGTGACCGCTTATACATTTCATTTGACACATCATCTTCATTAACTTTTTGCAAGGCGTTTGCTTATTAGTTGACTTATACATTTTATGAATAATCAGTAATAGAAATTTGCCAAAAGGTATAAGGAGATTTCTATCCGTGTAGATGGTTTTGAATGTTTCTGTGGAAGCACCTGGAAAAAGTGGATTCTTGGGCTAGCAATACAGACATTTTTTTGAGTGACGTTCTATAAAAAGCACTCAATTTTGAAGCTATGATGAAAGGCAAGCCTTTTTTAAGTACCTACAATAATTACAGGACTGGAGACAGCAACTTCCTAGATGGCCAGGATTTTAAGGATATCCTATGCCGGACATGTACACTAGCACCGCGTAGTGAAAGATTTCGTAATTTCTCTTTCTTTACAATTAATTTAATTGAGAAGCTCCATCGTGGGAGCTTTACAGAGCCGTGATTCAATATTGAATCTAAATGTAGCAAGATTTAGGTTGAATACTTGCAGTTTACTCGAGGTTAGAAGGATACATTGTTGGAGGATGGGATCATGAGTACATGGTCTCATCGGAGAGTTGCCACCTGTGTGCTAAAGTTCCGATGTCGTATGCCGAAGTATGAGTGAAAGTTCCAGTTAGGAAGTAATAAGCAAGTCGATTTTTTTACTGATGACTCGTTTCCAAAAGGCTTCTGTATTCATAGCAAATTGTAGAACCAAAAAAAAAACAATTTGTAAAATTGCAACAGGCTACAATTTCGGGGAGAAAACAGTCAAATTACTTTTGAGCACTTCTGTATGTTTTTGAATCTATGGTTTAAAGCAAAACTTGATCTCACAACTTTTCCAGGATTTAAAGGTGCACCGGTATGATAATTCAAATCTTTCCACTTCTTTTCTTGCAGAACCGTATGCAGGAATCGCTGAAGCTTTTCGACTCGATCTGCAACAACAAGTGGTTCACGGATACCTCAATTATTCTGTTCTTGAATAAGAAGGATCTCTTCGAAGAGAAAATTCGGAAAAGTCCACTAACAATCTGCTTCCCCGAGTACACTGGTAAGTGAACCCGAAATATTTACGTTTGAGCAGGGTATTAACATGGTTTTTTTTTTATTCGAATGAAACAGGTGGCCAGGAATACGGCGAAGCGGCGGCGTACATCCAAGCGCAGTTCGAGGCTAAGAATAAGTCCACATCAAAGGAGATCTACTGTCACATGACCTGTGCAACGGATACCAACAATATCCAGTTTGTGTTCGACGCCGTAACCGATGTTATCATAGCCAATAATCTGAGAGGATGTGGTCTGTACTAAGAAGTCCAACACTGGGGCTGTGGTTTGAGCAAACCTCCTGTTTTTGTTTTTCGTTTTTTTGTACTATTATGCATTAATTGGGAAATGGTCAGATGTGGACGACGGTATTTATTACAAATTTGACTATAAATATTACAAAGTATATAGAAATGCAAGAATCAAGAGGAAAAGTTTATATTAGGATGGAGTTAGGCAAGTCAGATAGGGAACAGTAAATTGTTTGAGTGGTCTCATTAGGACAAAGATGAGCTTGAGTGTCTTTTGCTTGGGACACAGATTTGATTGCAGATGAGATTACTAGAGAGAAAGTGTAAACAAACGTTGGAAGGTGGAGTTAAAAGTATGAATATCAGTGTTCATGAAAAAGTACATATTTTAGTATCCTTTCGATTAATTGTAATCAGACACAACACATTCACGCTTGCATGCCCCTGGACGATTCACGACGATGCGAAAGTATTTTTACTGCAAAACGTGACGTGGGATGACTAATCCATACCCCAGATCATCAGGAGCAGCAAGTGCTGAAGAAAAGCAACATTAACGCAACTATTAACACAAGATTCACTTGAGCGCTCATATAATTAAAGTTATACAACATAATAAGTATAGACGCAGAAGCAAATCGTACTCATACAAGAACCAATTTTCTCGTACAAGTATCCGCATAAATTAGATCTATTTGTATTTTTTATACATCTTTGTCCTGGATAAATGGTTTATTTATTTTGTATATTTTACCCAACACATGACGAGTAACAGATCTACTTTTCTATTTATATTTATTTATGTAACCGAAATGGCTACACTTGATTTTAGCACAAAACAAAACTATAACGCTTTCGACGGTAGTCCTTAAACAGCAAGTCAGGCGAACGGGATTTGATCAAAGCAACCCAGATGCGAGGCACAAACGCAATCCAATCGCTCTAGAAGCAGTATGCCATGCCATAATATTTCGTTTTTGCAGGCGTTGTAATAAGGGTCTGTAGTTTGTAAATAGCTTTATAATTTAAAGATTATAATCATTAAACATACCCAAAGATAGAATGCGATAGTAGTAAAAACAAACACTTCAATCACGCACATTTATTTATTGCAAGCATGACATGGTCATTTCGCTTTTCCTTTCATACTTTATAGAGAATACTTTCACAGTTATAGATCACTATCGGAATAACAGCTTGGACAAAATCGCAAATGGCTATAGTTTGAACAATTTAGCAAACACATACATTCCTGTCTTAGGTTTTCACTTATTTCATGCATTGTGCACCACAATCGTCCAATCGAAAGTCAGCAGTGAAAAAATCTAGATCAACATTTGAAATAGGCGGAACAACCCATCGTAAACAATGGCTTTAAACGTAACTTTATCAAGAACCAAAACACACCAAAGTCAGATTGACAACATTTGATAGAGCCATCTTGCTTTACCGAATTGCATTGTTAGTTTGCGTGAGTTTGTTTGATTCTCGAGAAATATTATAAGTTTATTTTCCGCCTATTTCAATTGTTGGTCTAGAAATAGCAGCAATAGAACATTTTCCCCGTGGCAAATACCAACAACATCGAGTACAAAAAACAAAGAACAACAAAATCAAACAAGAGACAAGTATTATTCTTCGTACATTCCTTGGTGTACAGAAAACATTTGCCCCACGGCCGGAAATTTGATAACAATCCATCAAGCTATGCATGCCTGATTCTTTCAGTATTATTTATCCTTGCGCCAATACCATGCTCGGTAGGCCAAGATGGAAATGAGATGCTTTTCCAGCATTTCAAGTTGCACACTAGAACGCACGTAACAGTTTCTAAAACTTCTGACAAACGATATGCTTGAAGGACATTTGTTGGTTAACTAGTATCATTCTCCATTGCAATCAACGTGTTTGCGAATAATCATACGCACAGGAAAATAGTTAAATTATGAGCCACTGAGGTTGAAATTCAGTTAAACAAAAAAAAAACCTTTGACTCTGATATGGGACAACTTTGCATAATGTTATACCTACGTTACTTAACGCACAACACGCCAAATCATGCCGCTTTTTCGTAGGATTCATGAAGCCGAATACAGTTTAGAAAAATGAGATCAATGCCAGCACACATTTTATGCATAACTAAAAGAGGAAGAACCATGACATCATTTGTGCCAATTTTGTAGGGAAAATGTATGTTTGTACTAGATTTTGTACGTTACTACACACATGTCCTACTTGTCGTTCTCATAGAAATAATCTAGTGACAACTAGAAATGAAATTCCTTTACAAAAACCAACAAATCCGTTTTATGAAATTCATCTCTTGTAGCTCTCGTGATAGCTCCGTTTCGATCTAGTTACACTCTGTCGAACGTCGAGTACATACCCAAGTGAAACAAACACCGATGAAACGACCAAAACAATATTTAAGAAAAATGAATAATAACTTCGTACAAATGAAACATGTGTTAGAAATCAACCATAAGATGTAATCTCTATTTTTTCTAAACTGTTGCATTGCGTTGTTAGAATTGTACGTAAATTATCAGCTTTAATTATCGGTTTCAACTGATTTTGACAATCGTTCCACTTGTTGGTTTAATTGTAGTACAACACAGATGCGATTTTTTTTGTATCAGTTCGTGAATAAAAGCCATATGAACACAGCAGCCGAGAAACTCGAGACACATCGCGCGACAGGCAAATCACTGATCTTTTTCAACATTCTAAAACTCGCTCTAACTTTGCGAAATCGAAAAAAAAAATCTAACCAAAATTGAAATCTAGTCATCGCAGCTGAATCTATTACCAAATCTTCACTTGCGGCAAATAAAAAATGGCGCAACCAAAACAATTAGATTTAGTTCGATTCAAACAGACGCCGATTCGTTTTAATAATATATTTAAAAACCAAAGCCATTATAAATACACGATCAAATCAATAATCTTTGTTGATTGATGCTTTCGTGATTAATTTATCATTTATGACATTGTACTTTCGTCAGAAACAACACTGTTCACTAAAACTTTGATCTACTATCAATACAACATAAGATGGTAATCTTGCGCATTTAGCTAAATAATACAAAATCCATTCAATGCATAATTTCCAAATAATGCTGCTATTATAAAACCAATTGAAAAATAAAATAAAAGTTAGTATATATTTGACGAAATATATCCGCTTACAAAACATTATTAGTATATTTTTTGAAAACAAACCTAAGTAGTAGAAAGAACGAGAAAGTAAAGCATAGTTTTAGTAGCTTAAAAAAGCAAGTCATAACAAACAAAATACAAAAAAAAAACTATCGAAAGATTGAAAGGAAAAATTCTAGAATAGTACTGTAAAATACAGAGAATAAACTTCAAACCTCCAACAACAACAAAAAAAAAACTTATATCAAACAACATCATCTCCAAATCAAAGAGATAAACAATATGAAAATTCAAATGAGACGAATGATTAATAAAGTAAAAGTACCCAAATTACTAAAAAAAAAACAAGCGTTAGAAATTAGGCTCTAAAATACCGAGCCTGTTGGATCAATTTTTCCAAACGGCACATTATTTATTTCTTATCTGATGGTAACAAAGGGGGAAAAATCGTGAAACCAAGTTGTCGATGCACTATTTAAAAAAAAATGAGAATGATAAGAATACGTTTAGTGAACAAAGCAAAATTTAACTATGTAGTCATAAATCGAAACAAAAAATGAAACAAAACAAAACGTAGATATAAAATCAAACAAATACATGAAAAACAATACACACAAACGTGGTTAAAATCAGCAAGAGAAAAGCAACAAAACTAGACATTCATCATCATTGCATTATTATTCAAATAAAACCGCAAAAGTGAATCATACACAGTTTTTTTCCTTTTTGAAAAAAGCAACAAATTGTTAATGAAGAAAAAGAACAACACGCAAAACAAAACAAAAAGTAAAACGATCATAAGCTATACAACCTTAAAAAGTAAAAGTAATATAATATTAATTGATAAGGGAAATAGTTCAGAAAAAAAAGAAATCAAGTAAAATGAAAGTCAGTAAAATAGCGAAACAAAAACAACTACTTGAAGCATCACTCTGTACGAAAAAAAAGAAAGAAAAAAGAAATACAATAGAGTTGCAAAAAAACAACACTTTAATGAGAACAGACAAAAAGGTAAAATATATATTTAACTTAATGTGTATGTAATTTTATGTGTGATGTAAAAAATCGGAACAAATAAATGCGTTTTAGCCACTAAAGTCATAAAACTATCTAGAAATGAATTGCCTTCTTCACTTGCTTTATCACAGCTATTTTATCAAATTTGTTCTTTTTTATTGGAAATGTTCAACTGTCTTAAAATAAATCTCTATGGAGCCAAAACATTTTACAATTGACTATAATAACATTATTCCGATGCAGTGTTGAATTGGGGTCGAGGTGAGTTCCCAAGGTGACGATATGCAGCGTGTTTTCTTCGTTCCGTTTGTGTTGATCGCCAGCCGCTTGATATCCTCGTTATCTTCTTTCCGCTCTGCCTGTATTCTTCGATTCCAAACTTGTAGTAACGATGCACCTCCTGCAGGGTGCGAATAAAAACTAAGAACCGCTCTTAGGAAGTTCACCAAGTACCGCACAATATCCCTTCAACGTCACTATGTCAGGATCAATCACGCATACAAACGAGTTGCGAAACGCTGCTTTCTTCAGTATCGACGTGGATTGCAGAGAAAGCTTAAGTCACGTCCCAAGCAGTTTTGGAAGTTTGTCAACGAACAACGTCATGAAGCTGGTCTGCCGTCGTCTATGACACATAATGGTCACGTGGCCTCATCTACGCAAGATATCTGTCAGCTGTTCTCTGAAAATTTTGCTAGTGTCTTCACGGACGAGAGACTAAGTGACGACCATGCCCCACTGGCTGCCAGTTACGTACCACTCTCTGGCCAAACCATGAGCAGAATTGACATCAATCCCGAGATGTTTTTCAGGGCTTCCTCGAAACTCAACTCGTCGTACAATCCGGGTCCTGACGGAATTCCATCGGCGTTCCTCAAAACGCACTTGAACAGTTTGTTGTCTCCACTGCTGCACGTTTTTCAACGGTCTGTGGACGTCGGTGTTTTCCCATCCTGTTGGAAGCTAGCGCACATGTTTCCAGTACATAAAAAAGGCAACAAACAGGACGTAGGCAACTACCGTGGCATTACTTCACTTAGCGCTGGTGCTAAATTGTTCGAACTCGTTGTTATGAAACCGTAACTCGCTCACTGTAAGCCGTATATTAGTATCGACCAGCATGGTTTCATGGCTGGTCGCTCCACTGCCACTAACTTGCTGTGCCTTACTTCCTACATCTCTAACATCGGATCGTGCTCAGACGGATGTCATTTATACTGACTTATCTGCTGCCTTCGATAAATTGAATCACCGCATATCAATCGCTAAACTGGACAGGCTTGGTATCCACAGCTGCATTTTGCAATGGTTTCAGTCGTACCTCACCGATCGCTATCTTACTGTTGTCATTGGCGATCACCAGTCCCGTACGTTCGCTGCCACATCCGGCATACCCCAGGGTAGTCACCTGGGACCGCTGAATTTCCTGATTTATTTCAACGACGTGAATCTGGTAATTGAGGGACCACGATTATCTTACGCAGATGACCTTAAACTCTACCTCTACCTATGTCCTTGGGTACGAAAGTGACCCCGTTGGCTTCGTACCACTCCAGGACAACATTTGAATAGGGGCAGATTAGCGACCAGAAGATCGTACGGCCCTCGTGTTGCTCCAACAGAGTAAGCAGGAGCTTCTGTAGACACTCCTTGAAGTAGATCTACATTCCCGGTAGTCACGAATGGCACACTCCGTTTGCCACATGAGCAGATCGCTTGCTAAATCATGATTTCTTGGCAAACTTTGAAAGTTTCTGCTTCCTTACTTCCTCCGGAACATCAAACTTGTGCTGGGCGTTGAAGAACAGTATCCCCGAAAGCTTTTTTTTATCTTTATGCAAGAGATTTTTAGCCGAAGGCTAGTTCATCTCTCTCCCCGGAAGCTGCCGGAAGTCCGCCTTGACGTAAGTCTCATCATCCATGATGAGACAATGAAGCATCTGGGTGTACAATTTCCAGGCCCGTGACTATCCTACCGTATTTTGCTGTTTGTCACGATTTGGAGCCTTCTGCACTTTGTACGTATGCAGTCCTTCCCGGTCCTTGGCTCTCTGAACGAAAGCCTTGGACAGATTCAACTTTTTGGCCAAATCCCTGGCCGAAGCATTGGAATTCCGTTTAAACGTTTGCACGACACGCTTGTGATCCTAATCACTAATAGAATATCCATTATGACCGCATTTCTCCTTCCGTTCGATGCTCAGAGTTTCATAGAAACGTTTAACCACACGACTTACGACTTACTTACAGCGATAATAATACAGTGTAAACAATACACTCTAAACTACTTCTACTCAAATTTTCAAGAGAAAATATCCAATGGATAATTTTCTACAGCGTCATTTTCCGTGATGCAATTTGATGTGGGACACCCTTTACTATCACTTCGGGTCACTGACTTGGTGTCCCATGCAGGTCTACAGCATGAGATTAAGCTCTCCCACCTTCGGCAAGGTGCTTAAGAATGGCCTACGGGAGGGAGTGATATCAGCGAGAAATGTCGCAATGATTTTCAGTCAGAACACGGACGTATGTGAACAATTTAAGCCGGAAAGGAAAAAATCTAAATGTGGTCTTAGGTTCGCATTTTCAATGCAGGTTCTGCGAGTGCACGCAGCTCATATACCACCAATTATATCGAGTCCCACAGACTCAACAATGTTAGTAGTTAGCACATAATACCCTGCAACAAAGTGGCTTAAATTACCCTTTTCTGTAGCCGCTCGCAAACCGGACGCAATCCACAAACGTTCGTCGATCTTGTTTTCCGTGCTGAGCACCAATGCTACCGACGCCAGGGAAGCAGCTCCCACACCTGGACCCTACCTATCGACCAATGAACTCACGAACCGGGGACCAACGGCTTTACTTCCCTTCCCTTCCTGCTGGGGTGAGAGGTAATAACGCTCCGGCGCCACTAATCCACAAACGTTGTACGTTCGCCCAAACAAACTACCGGGGAGCAGTCAAAGCAGACTTATTTAGCTCCAAGTAAGGAAGGCCTTCAGAAGAAGTAGATCTAGAAATGTGCTGCTGAACGAGCGTGAACCTAATCCCAGTTGCACGCAGGGCCTTTCTTTTGATTTCTATACTTTTGGTCTAGTTCCCCAGTGTTTGAGTCGTGACGCCAGCCTGATGGAAACAAACAAGATTGAAGTGGGAAGGTGTTTATTCTTCATCCGGACGAGAGCTGAATTACAAAGCACCGGCTAGCTCGCCTATTCAGTGCGCGGTTCCACGACAGCAAAAGCAGGAGGTGTTTAACACGCGTGCATGAACGCTATCCGGACGAAGATCAGGAGGTGACTCATCACTCTAATAAAATTTGTTTGGTTATTTTGCTTAACGACGTGTTCTGGATATCATCCAAACCATTTGTGGAATAGTTCTATCATTTGGGTTATCGTTCGGGTATGGTATTTTTTATTAGGGTAGCTGGCAGGAAAGTTCGATGTACGGCCAGCTAAGACGGTGGGAAGAAGCTGTTTCGATACGCACAGGCTTGCTGAAACTCCTCAAACTCACTGGAGGTTTTAAAACACTCTTGTCTTGCGAGTAAAGGGTGATACGGTCAAAATTTGGTCAATATCAACTTGACGTATTTCTTTCAATTTTGGATTTAAAAAACCTGAACACCCCTCATTTTGAAGGTGTGTGTGTGTAGAATGTTGCTCCTATTTTGATTTTGGAATTCACTCTTCAGTTGTCAAAATGCCGTCCAAGCAAGAAGAGCAGCGTATCAAAATTTTGCTCGCGCATCGCGAAAATCCGAGCTACTCGCACGCAAAGTTGGCAAAATCGCTAAAAGTTGCCAAATCAACCGTTACAAATGTAATTAAAGTGTTTGGGGAACGTTTGTCGACAGCCAGGAAGTCTGGATCGGGGGGAAATCGAAAACCGGAAGCCGCTGAGACGACAAAGAGAGTTGCCGGTAGTTTCAAGCGAAACCCTAACCTCTCTCTCCGAGATGCCGCAAATAAGCTGGGTGTATCGTCTACAACCGTGCATCGAGCCAAAAAATGAGCCGGACTATCGACTTACAAGAAGGTAGTGACTCCAAATCGCGATGATAAACAAAATACGACGGCCAAAGCGCGATCCCGGAGGCTGTACACGACGATGCTGACGAAGTTTGACTGCGTGGTAATGGACGACGAAACCTACGTCAAAGCTGACTACAAGCAGCTTCCGGGACAGGAGTTTTATACGGCAAAAGGAAGGGGAAAGGTAGCAGATGTTTTCAAGCACATGAAACTGTCAAAGTTCGCAAAGAAATATCTGGTTTGGCAAGCCATCTGTACCTGTGGCTTGAAAAGCAGCATTTTCATAGCTTCCGGGACTGTCAACCAAGAAATTTACGTGAAAGAGTGTTTGAATAAACGTCTGCTGCCTTTCCTGAAGAAACACGGTTGTTCCGTACTGTTTTGGCTGGATTTGGCATCTTGCCATTACGGTAAAAAGGCCAAGGAGTGCAGGTGGTTCCCAAGGACAAGAACCCTCCCAACACGCCAGAGCTCCGCCCAATTGAGAAATACTGGGCTATTGTCAAGCGGAACCTAAAGAAGACCAAAAAAACTGCTAAGGGCGAGCAGCAGTTCAAGGCAAACTGGCTTTCTGCGGCGAAGAAGGTGGACAAGGTGGCTGTAAAAAATCTGATGGCAGGGGTCAAGCGTAAGGCCCGGCAATTCGGATTTGGAAAAGCGGAAGCCTAACTGAATATTTTTCCTGAATTTTATACTAATTGAACTTGAAAAAGAAATTTAATTTGATTTTTTAAATAAACGATTTCACCGATTTACACGCGTTTTCCCTTGACCAAATTTTGACCGTATCACCCTTTATACCCAACAAACATTGAATGTTAAATAAGAGCTTATTCAGGCAAAAATAAGCTTCTTCAGCTAAAAAATGGCTTATTCAGCTGTTAATCAACCCAAATTGTTCGTTGGGTAGCCAGCTCTCACCTCAAGTGAGTGGCGGCAGGAATATGGAAGAAGTAAACAAAAACTCCTCGAGAGAGAGGGAGAGTGAACTTCAGCGAGAGGATGATTGGACGTGAGGTACGATTTTCGAGACTCCGGATGACTTTTTTGTTCGATGCAAGAAGGTCAGAGTTCACCCAGAGTGAGAGTAAGAGCGTGTGATAGAAAAGATGAACATGAATGGCAGTATACCTCACTCTAATTTTATTCTCCTTCGCAAGCTCTGAAGCTCAGTGGAATGATTTGGCAGTAGGCATTCTACTCCTCAGGAAAATGCTACGCTCGGCTCATCTCAAACTCGCGAGCGAGGCTCCATCAAGCCTGCTCTCACATACGAGCGAAGATTCTCCTGAAATTTCATGCTGATGTCATGTAGATGCTGACGCCCTGTTTACATGCTGCTGACTACTTTTTAGTGTAGTTTTATTACATTAGCACAAGTGTAAACACCCCACAATGAGCTTTTTATACTTACGCTAGATCATTAGCTCAACCAATTAGCAAAAATTTTAGGTGTTCCTGAAATCTAATGTTGGTGGAAGCTGACGCCCTGTTTACACAATGCTAACTACTTTGTAGTAGTTTTAGTACACTAGTACCAGCACACAAGCACAAGTGTAAACACACGATAATGGAGTACTTACATCTGTGCTGGTGTGCTAGCGCTTTTTCAAACCAGCATTAGGGCTACATTTAGCCTGTTGATGTTGACAGATAAGACAAACAAGTAAATAAAGCAAGTGGATGGTCTATCTTGCCCCTCTTACCCTACAATCGGTGAAAACAACATACGTGTCATCATGTTGACGAAAAAAGTATTTAAGTGTTTGTATGTAGATCAATTTACTTTATTTCATTTCAGCATTTTGAATGATAATGGTACACAGCACTCTATGAATAAACGTTGAAAAAGTCCCCTTAGTTACATTAGAATCATCTTACATACTGCCTATAATCGCATATCAGTCCCATGTGGAAAAAGTAGGTATTGAAGAAACGACAGTCGAAGTTACGAAGGGCGATTCCCATGTAAATATTTGAAAAGTCATAGTAAATTTATTAATATTTTTTTCCAAGTAGCATTGAAGCTAATCAACGAAAAATATGACAACACAAAAATCAGCACCAATTCAGTAACTTAACCTATGGGCGATTGAATCTTAGGATGGGACTGATATGCGATTACTACATTTTTCATGATCAATGTCCGTAGTTTATCTCACACTTGGCAAAAATACATATTATGGATCTGATATGCGATTATAGGCAGCATACGTGGTACTAACGTGATACAGTTTAAGAAGACTAACATTGTGGTATGGGAATGGCTTCAGCTTTTTGTCTCCATTGGTCCTATTAATTCATACATTTGCTTTTGGGAAGTTTGTATACATTCATTTACAGTAGTTTCTTAATTGTTTTGCTGATACGTTAACCAATTTGCGAAGTTGGATAATGTTGGAGAAAAAATAATACTAGGATAAATTAGTACGTGTCAGATGAATTTTTAAACTAAATTCTACGACACGAAAAAACATCAATACATTTTAATAAAAATCATAATATTTTAAACTAATTAAACCAACCTTATAATTATTATTCTGACTAATGAGATGAAAATTTACACTTACCTCTTACCTGCTAGGAAACATATGAATTTAAAACGTCTGGGGAAAAAATCCACTACCTTGTCTACTCATCAATTGTATCCATTGTAATAGTAGTAGTGGCTGATGATGCTTCGCCACATTTGGTTGTCTTTTTGGTGCTGCCGCTAGTACTCGTAAGGAACGATTTTAGCTGCTATAATCGTTTTCAGTTTTCCGTAAAATACGGATGCGCCATTGCTTGCTCTGCACTAAGCCGCAGTGTGGGACGGCAAATGAGCAATTTCTGCAGTAGATCCCGGCCTTTGGAGTTTAGCCGAGGCACCACCTGGCTCCACGAAGTTGTTGGAGGGTAAACTGCAAAATTTATACAAAATTAATAAAAAAAAAAATGTTTCTCTAAAAACAAAATTTTACACTCACGGGGAAATGGTTTATAGTCTGAAAGCTGCGTGATTCCTGGCCATGTATCCTCTGTTGGTGTGCCAAGAAGTTTAAAGATTCGTTTCAACTGATCGTCGACATCGGAGCCGGGGAAAAGCGGCCTTCCAGCGTTAGCTAATTCGGCAAAAATACACCCGGCTGACCACATGTCAATGCTGGTCGTGTATAGTTTCGCTCCAAACAGCACATCTGGAGGTCGGTACCATAACGTTACAACTTCAGCCGAGTAACATTTGACAGGAATGCCAAAAGCTCTAGCAAGTCCAAAATCGGCCAATTTCAGTTCGCCATTCTTATTGATTAGCAAATTTTGCGGCTTAAGATCTCTATGTAGGACATTATGACTATGACAAAAAGCTAGCCCTCGCAAAAGTTGGTACATGAAACTTTTGACCACATCCGGGTCAATCTCGCCGTTGAGACTATCGAAATATTTCTTAAGATCTTGATCGCAATGTTCGAAAACAAGTGTCAGCTTCTTATCCGAATGAAGAACATCATAAAGTCGTACAATATTCTTATGCTTTAGTTCCTAGAAATGAATTCTGCGATGAGGAATCTAAATGCTCAAATTGAAACTTATACCTTTAACAAACAGATTTCTCGCAGAGCCGAGCTGGGAACTCCTTCGTCGTCTTCATCTAGGCGGACTCTTTTCAGGGCCACAATTTCCAAAGTATCGCGATTTTTTCCTTTAAATACTGTACCATACGTACCCTCACCAATTTTCTCCAGTTTCTCGTACTTTTGCATCTTCCGTAGCTTTACTGTTATCTTCTCCAAACCCTGATTTGGAGAAAAGTATGTAAGTTATCTTTCATGATTGCTATACATGAGAATGTACCTGAATTTTGAGGCAGCGGTTTTTTTAATATTACAAAGAAATTTTTCGCAAATATTGCTCAAAAACACCGGGATTTTCTTCAATTTTCGGCACCAACAAACAACAAACTATATCGACACAGCCAGACTGAATGTCACTAAAGGAAACAAACGTGCTTCACTTCCTTTTACTTGACCAACAGCCGCGTTGCCAACACGCTTATTCTGGTCAACTCAAAATTGAGTCGAAGGTACTCATCTCAGCGGCAAGTATGGCTACTCAAAATTGAGTAGCCTTATGTTGACTCACTTTTGAGTAAACTACGTTCTCACGTAGACTGAGTCAAATCCACTCGCCGGTATTTTCAGTTGCGGGGAGGGTTTTTGTTTTGATTTTCATTCAAGAAAATGGAAATTGCCTGCTTCGGATTCATTCTACCGGAGCAAAACACGGTTCAACACCGTTTCTCTAAGCAATTCGTACTTACCTGAAGGCATTTCAGCCGGTTTTGAGTAACATTTTCCCTCCGACATGACTGGCATTTTTTCCAAGTCCAGGATTTTGCTGACTGAGTGGCTTTTACTCAGTTTGACATTTCTAGTTTACTCAATTTTTGACAACTCGATACATCGGACGAAAGTGAGTACGATCGACTCACCTGGTGAGTAAGCAGAAGTTAGCGTGAACTCTTTTGACGTAGAACTACGTCTTTGTCGACTATACTGGGGTGCAAGTCAAAAAATATGTGTGGTGAAGGAGTGTTAGGTTTTGAATAGAGTCGGTGTATAATGAGTCACGCCAAGAGAAAAACAGTTGAACTCGCATCACGGTTTTCGAAAGATTCCCATTCTTTTCACTTGGCAACAGAGGACTTCTACAACAACTTCAAATGACTTCTAGCGAGAGAAAAAAAATGCGGCTGTAGTAAATCATTATATCAGTGATTTTGTCAAATTATCTTAACAAAAAATAGTAGAAATTCTCATTACTGATCATTACCGAACGTATCCCATGACAATTTAAAGCTCACTGCGTGTTTATGCTCATTTCTTCGATAATATTTTATATTTTATTGCAATACCTTTCGTGGACCTTTCATAGCATCGTAATGTTTATTTACTTTGCCCGATAGGTAGCCGGTTTGACGGTTCGATAGGTAGACTTGGCTTCACTCTTGGCGTGACTCATTATACACCGACTCTAGTTTTGAACGCTTGTAACTTTGTCATTTATAGATGAAATTAAAATCCAAATACGCCAATCGATAGGATATTACATTACGAACCTGTTGAAATAAATATTTTTCAAATTTTTCTGTAATTAAACTTTTGAAAATGTACAAATGATAATTTTATCACTGATTTCATGAAATAAGCCTTTTTCCCAAACCCAGTCATCATAAACGAATACCACTTGGTTGCACATCATTCTGCTTGAACCTGAAAAGATATAAATCAGCGCTGCTCTCATGCCACTGCTCATTAACGCTTCGGACGGCGTGGCGCTTGGTGCTGCAGCAACCAGGACCAAATCAGCGGCTTAAGGTGGATCACGGCGTGACCACAATGAGGAAAAGCAAAAATGTAAACCCTCCGCCCTTCACAACAATCTCTCGCCCTCCCCCGCAACAACCTCTCGCCCCTTTAACAACCTCTCCTACCCCCCCCCCCCACCTTCAAACCTCTCCTACCCCCCCCCCACCTTCAAACCTCTCCTACCCTTCTCTCCGCCATCAAACCCTTCCTACCCCCCCCCTCAAATACCTCTCCTAAAAACCCCCTCCCCCCAACCCAAATACGTCTCCTAAACCCCCTCCCCTCAAATACCTCTCCTACCCCCCCCCCCACTAAAAATAACCCGAAAGCGAGACAGACTTTGACGATCCCTTTTTCCGGGAAATAAATTTTAAACATACCACAATCATTAGTAAAACCAAGTTTTACCAAATTTGAACATAAAATGGCTCTGAAGACATGTTTGATGACATTCTGTTGGTGAATTACATACAACTGACGGTAAAACTTATCTGGTGCCTCTATATAAGCAATTATATTAACATCCAAAGTCCATCCTATTTTACATATTCTGCACAAAAGAAACTTTCTGCTCCGCCCCATTCATAAAAAACTGCGGGAAATCCTATCAGGTTCTGAACCTGAAAAGATATAAAACAGCGCTGCTGTCATGCTTTTGCTCATTGTCGCTTTGGACGGCGTGGCGCTTGGTCCTGCAGTAAGCAGGACCAAATCAGTGACTTAAGGTGGATCACGGCGTGACCACAATGAGGAAAGGCAAAAATGTAAACCCTCCGCCCTTCACAACAATCTCTCGCCCCCCCCCCCTCAACCTCTCGCCCCTTTAACAACCTCTCCTACCCCCCCCCCCCCCCACCTTCAAACCTCTCCTACCCTTCTCTCCACCATCAAACCCTTATTACCCTCCCCTCAAATACCACTCCTAACCCCCCCCCCCCCCCCCCCACAAAAATAACCCGAAAGCGAGACAGACTTTGACGATCCCTTTTTTCCGATAAATAAATTTTAAACATACCACAATCAATAGTAAAACCATGCTTTACAAAATTTGAACAAAAATTTGCTTTGAAGATATGTTTGATGACATTCAGTTGGTGAATTACACACAACTGACGGTAAAACATATCTGGTGCCTCTATATAAGCAATTATATTAACATCCAAAGTCCATCCTATTTTACATATTCTGCACAAAAGAAACGTTCTGCCCCGCCCCCTTTCATAATAAAATGGCGGGAAATCCTGTCAGTTGTGGGGCTTAGAAAGTATGTTTTGAGCAGAATATGTAAAAAAGGAGGGACTTCGGATTTATTTTTTCTGCAAAATATGTAAAAAAGGGGGGACGTCGAATGTTAACCTAAATGCATATATCCTGCATCATAGATAGAGAAACTTTCTCTACTGATTTCAATTAACGCAATATAACTCAGAAGTGCTTTTGTTAAACCGAACTCGCGTTCTACTAATACTTCTCAGCGAATATTGAGAAATTGACAGTGCAATTCATTGCCATGTCGAAACATATGGCTGCAAAATACATGCGAAATTCCCGGAAGCGTGCGAAGGATCGTCAGGCAGATGGTTCTCCGAAACGACCCAAGACCGCTGCAGAGAGTGTTCGGTGTTATAAAGCCAACATGGAAGCAGTGATAGGTAATGCGGCACCATCAACTGATTGGGACGCTGGAGAAGGTCCTTCAACTCGAGGTAGGAAATTAAAATTAATTTGTATTGCTGATTACATCTAAAACTAGACTGCCCCAAAAAGTGTGATAAAAGTGCACGTTTCGGTCTAATCGTGTTCGAAGAACTTATTGCTTACATCATAATGGATAAGTGCACTGAAGACACCAATATAATTATATGGAAACTCGCACTTTGGTCAGACTTAATAAATGAAAACGCACTTTATAGTCCACTTTGGGGTGAAATGCGCAATAACCTTTGGAACCGCATACGTTCGAAATTTAAGGTAGGTTAATGAATGTTGGACCTATTTTTACCGGCGCTAATTTAGTCCAAGAATGTCTAAGAAACTTCTTCTCCAAGCTCAATTAATGTTGAACTAAGAAGCTACTTATTGGAAACCAAACGTTTGATTTGAGAAAAGTCAAAGTATTCTATTTTGCATCATTCTACAACCACGCTGTTAAGTACATATTAATGATGCATGCTAATTTCATGTTAGGATTGTCCTTCAAATTGGAGAAAACATAGGTGCTTGAACCCCGTATGATCGTTATACCCCTTCCTACCCTACTTCGCTGACAAGTATGAACAAACAAAATTTTTGTTCAATATTGAAAGTACCGTATAAGGAAAACAATTCAGTGCCAACATTTCAAAGGGGCGTAATTTCATTTGTAAACAATGGCTTTAGCCATCGATTTCTCGCGAATAAAAGCTCAATCATGAAAAATAATGACACCAATAGGTAGAAGAATGTTTCCTCTACCATCTAGCATTGTTATTTTGAAAGAGTGAGCTTTAAGATGCGAGAAATCGACAGCTAAAGCCATTTTTTACAAAATCAACTACGCCACTTTGAAATGTTGGCACTGAATTGCCTGTTGCATTATCATAAAATGCAAACTTCACTCTCTTCTCTGCTTCAGAGACCTAATTCAAAACTAATGATGGAGGGACTGAAAAAATAGCGTATTTTTTGCGAATTGTTTTATCCCACAACATGCATGGCGTTTTTGTGTATTATACTGTTGTGCAAATCAACAAAAAATGTGTGACGAAATAGTGTCAGTTCCTATTGTAGTCGATTTTGAATTTAGTGCTTATTGATTACATCAAAATAGTTCAATAATGTAGATATGTAGGGAACATTCTGTCAATTCTTAACCATTACATTAAATTTAAATACATTATCTCATGCGTAAGATGAACGGTGGTCTGATTATGCTAACATGAATTGTCGTGAGTTTCAGAAATGATTCCTTCTTGCTCTGTTCGTAGTGAGCAGCTTGACATGCCATCTCTTGGGCTTTCAAGCCAGGGTGAGTAACCGGTACGGGTTTTAAATTCTCAAGTTGCTACACACAAAAAATTATCGCTAATAAAATTAAAAAAACCATTGGTAGAATTAAAAGTTTGCATTGGTTCTTTTTGGTAGAAAGTCATTAGCATTCAAAACAAAAGTCAGACAACTTTCTAATCAAAAGTTGCCTGGTCACTGTTTTTAAAAGTTGAAACTTTCAAAATAAATTGTTCTACTGTCAAAAGAAAAGCTCGACTGGGTTGAAATTAAAAGTGGATTTTTTAAATTAAAATCATGCTTTTGGGCTTGAAAGTTTGGTATGAATGAAATAAGAGGGGTAATTTTGCGTTTGAAATAATAAAAATTCAGTTTAAAAATATGCAATTTTAATATTATAACACATAATTTTCATTTTAAATTCTATAAAATATTAATATCAGTTTTTTTAATTCATAATGTTTTTATTATAATTTAATTAATATATATTTATTGATATCCCAGTCACTCGTAATCTTTAGGGAAGTACTCCAGGTCCAAGAGAAGGTTTTATATACTACGATATTTTTCGCAGGTTTTATAGACTCCGATATTCCTTCGATGTACCGTTTCATATTTTCCAAGCTGAGCGCCGGATACTTCTAATAACATTCCTTTGTCAGTTCTTGCAATTCTCGCTCCGGAGGATACATCGGATCGGCTAGAGGAATGCTTTCCCGGTGAAACTACCGTCAATGGCATCCGTAGTGGCTTCTGTGGTGTCAACACCGAAGATGGTGCAAAGTGCTTCGTACTTTCAAGAAACGAGTCAATATCTGCAACAAGATAAGACCACCTTTAAATATTTCACCTTTAAAAGCTAACCCCAACGTAACTTACCTATTATTCAACTCCAGTTGCACATTCCGAAATAAGCTTCCTACTCTTGGCCAAACCTGATTCCAGCACTTCCATATGCTCGCACTGCACTCCACTGAACATGCGAATTCATATGTATTTTAATATTTTAAACTACATTTAAGTAAATCAAACTGGTAGATTTTTTCCTCGGTTTTTTTTTTTCACTTGTGATGGCTGTGGTGCACGAAAAAACGAAACAACCCAACATTTAGTCAATGGTATTTTTGACAGTTTAACAATTTTCATTTTGAAAATATGCCTTTTTAAAATAACAAGTATAAAGTGAAAGACAAACTTTTAAAATAACAATAATGCTTTCATGTTAAATATTGTCGTAGTTGAAACAACCAAAGTTGGGAGACTTTTAATTTGAAAATGCATTATTTTTGAAGGAACAATTTTTATTTTTTGTGTGTATGAATGTAATAATTTACAGAACGTTTTGAGCCAAATTTGGAGGGGGCTACACGAGAATTTAACAAGCGACTTGTTAATAATCAATTCGGTTCCGTGTGTGGCGTGTGTGACAGGCTGTGGTTTTTGAATGACTTGAAACCAATCACCATCGCTGAAGCCGAAGTTTTGTGTAACGTCAACATTAACGTGAGAGATTTGTCTGCTTGTCAGACTTGTCGCAGTAGCCTGAAACGCGGTAAAGTGCCAACTTTAGCTGTGTCGAACGGCTTTAGTTACCCGGAGTATCCATCAAATCCACCTCTTCCACCACTGGACCCGATTACAGAACGATTAATTTCACCACGGCTACCTTTTATGCAAATTCGGCGCCTGCGTTTCGCGGCAGGTATGTGGTTTATTGTTGAATTGGATTTTAGGAGAGATTCCTAACATCGATCTTACATTGTAGGCAGTTACGGCATCATCGGTCAGGTGATCAACGTTCCAGTGGATGTGGATCAGATGGTGAAAAAACTACCGCGACAGTTGGAGGATGACAGGGCTTTCAATGTTTGCATCAAAAAGCACCTCATTCACAAATCCAATTACCTATCTGGGTTTGTGAAGAAAGGAACCATTAAAGTCTGGCTACAGCATCTGGTGACCACTCCATTGTACCGTCGATACAAAATAACCTTCAGCGAAGACGAACTGAATATCATCGACTCAGGACCTAGATCCAACGCATCGCATCTGGAGAATAATTCAGTGGAATTGGAGACCATTGACATCGATCACGACGTCGAATTGCTGATTGGACAGCAGCACACCCTTTTATGGAACGAGGATAAGTGTCTGGAGATAGCCCCGGCCCAGAACAAAGTTCCACTATCCATCATATATGACGAACACGCCGAAGAGCTTTCATTCCCGGACATTTATTTTGGTTTTCCAAGGACATTCAATCCGGATGTACGTGTAACACCATTTATGATGGCTACCAGCGAACTAAGGCGCCGTGATCGACGAGGTGCTAAGCCTCAACATTTGTTGTACATGGCAATGAAGATACTCCGCCTGCGCGTTTCCGAGGGACTCCAGTGTACGTTTAAATGCATGGCAACAGCAAACATCACGCGTGCCATGTTGAGCGACAAGGAATTCTTGGAAAAATGTATCGATCGGAACTTGTCGTTTCTAAAGTCCATACCGAACTCGGTTCAGTACTGGCAGCAGCGCAAACGCGATCTGTTTGCAATGATTCGGCAGCTGGGGAAACCAACAATGTTTCTCACCTTGAGCGCCAGTGAAACCAAATGGACTCATTTGCTTCAAACGCTGCAAAGGCTGTCAGACGGGCGCAGCAACAACGAATTACAAGACGTTATGCAGCAACTAACGGCACTACAGCGAGCAACGCTAGTGAATCAGGATCCGGTGACATGCTGCATTTATTTCAACAAGCTTGTTGACATAATCATGCAGCTGTTGCAATCGCCGAGATATAGTCCGTTCGGGCAGTATCGCGTGGTGGACTACTTCAAGCGCATCGAGTTCCAACATCGCGGTAGTCCTCATGCCCACATACTTATATGGCTAGCTGGTGATCCGTGTGAGGTGGTCTCGGAGAGCATGCCCGCCACAGTAAATCTCATCGACAACCTATGCTCCGTTCGCGCTACTGATTTGTCTGAGAACTACAGCAACCAGGTGCACAAGCATACCTTCACCTGCTTCAAACGGAATGAGAAGCGATGCCGTTTCAATATTCCATACTGGCCAATGGATCAGACGCGGGTATTGTTGCCGATACCCGCTGACGATGGTCGCCGCGAGCAGCTGAAACGATGTTCTGCCAAGATAAAAGAAGTTCTGGAGACTAAAGTGTTCGAGACGTTCGAGCACTTTCTCGACGACTGCAACTGCACATACGACTACTATCTAGATGTTATCCGCGCCTCAATAAATCGTCCAACTATCATGCTCAAACGGTCGATGACAGAGTTATGGACAAACCCGTTCAACCCGTGGATTGCCAACGTCCTTCGATCAAACATGGACCTCCAGTTCATCCCGGAAGCATTCTCGTGTGCTGCGTATGTCGTTGAATATGTCAACAAGACAAATAGAGGCATAAGCAGCCTACACCGTGACCTCGTTAAACTGCAGGAAGAGTATCCGGATCAAGATTATACGGCACTGCTGAAGAAGGTGAGCATTAAGATGCTAAACTCCGTGGAGATGTCTGCGCAAGAGGCCGCCTGGTATTTACTTCGCCAGCCGATGTCGGAAGCTAGTCGAAAGGTAAATTTGTTGTTTCTTATTTCTAAGAGAAGTCTCAAAATATCTACATTTACAGGTGGACTTTCTTCCGACAATGTGGCCACACGAACGTATAAAATCTCGGAAACGTTCTCAGCAGATGGATGAGGAGGGCATCGAAGACGAGTCAACCGATGTGTGGACACTGAACATTATTCAAAAGTACGAAGTTCGTGTAGGGCTGGATGATGTATGCTTAGCAGATTTCGCGGCTCACTATACGAAGGAGAGAAGGGCCAACACGTACAAGCTCCGCGCCAGACCTCGCGTTTTGCGGTGGTGTGCTTACAGCATGAACGAATTGGTGGAGTACAAGCGTGAGATGGTTCTTCTGTTCTTGCCATTCAGAAATGAGTTGTGTGATGTTCTTGATGAAAACAAGTTCCTTGAGTTGTATGACCATAATGAGGCTGACATCCTGAGGAAGTGCAAGGAATATTCCACTGACCTGGACCTGGAACATACAGTACAGGAGTATCTCCGCATGTGCGCTGAGGATGAGGCCAACGAACAGCAGAATGTGGCCAGCGATAAACACGATGAATTTGTTCGAACGATTGCCATGGATCCGAATAACGACGACATCACACATCTGCCCATCGGTACTTTGTCATCAGTTATCAAACAACGTACGAATGTAATGTCGAAGCAAGATTTTTGTGCCATGGTACGAGCTACCAATGCGGAGCAGCGAGATTTGGTCTTGCAAGTGATTGACGGACTACACAATTTCAACGACAATAATAAACCGCTCCAGATCTTCTTCACGGGCCCTGCAGGTTGTGGTAAGACGTTCACGCTGCGCATCTTGATGGAGACGTTCAACCGCTTTGGTCAGGCGCAAAACTCACAGAATAACGCCTATGTTGCATGTGCTTCGACGGGAAAAGCAGCGGTTGCTATAAATGGGACGACAGTTCATTCAGCGTTCCGCATCACCATGGCACGTAGAAACAACGCTAGTCTCAGCTTCGAATCCCTGCAACTGTACCGTAACGCATTCGCCAATATCAAGGCAATAATAGTAGATGAAGTAAGCATGGTTGGTGCGGACGTGCTAAACACCATTCACGCTCGTCTTCAGAGTATCACCGGAAATTATGACGATCCTTTCGGGGGAATGAACATCATTTTCTGTGGGGACTTGCGTCAGCTACCACCTGTGAATGCACGGCCCGTTTATAAGCCATGCGCAAATTCTATGCACGGTGCCGTTCTGTGGCAGTCTCTAGATTTCTTCCCGTTGGTTAGAGTTATGCGACAGACCGATATAGAATTTTCTACCGTACTCACAAAGATTGGCAACGGCGAACAACTCACCGTAGAAGAAACCGGACTGATTGAGAGCCGATTCCGCACTACCGAATGGTGTAAACAAAACGTGCCGAGCGCAGTACGACTCTTCCACCGAAATGTTGACGTTGAACGGTACAATTGCGAAGCATTAACAGATCTTGATGGGCTGGATTGTACAGCTGAGGATGCATTCGTAGGGTACAGCAATGTCGAGCAGCTGGCCAGCTCTCGCATAAAGCTGTACAAGATGAGTGTGGTCGAGACCGGTTGCTTGCCTTACATGGTACGCCTCGTAGTGGGAATGCCGTACATGGTCACCACGAACGTCGACGTTGAAGATGGTATAGTCAATGGAGCGATTGGTGAACTGCAATACGTAGAGCATAACGAAGATGATCCTCAACAGAGTATTATCAAACTGTGGCTCAAATTCGACAGCGTGGCAATTGGTGCGGCTTTGAGAATTAAATCACGACCGACGGTATACTCGAAACCCGGAATATTGCGACCTGATTGGACCCCCATCTCCAGGCGATCGGCCAACATCAAGCTCAGTGGTAGCATCAAGTGCAAGCGTATCCAGTTTCCAGTAGTCAGTGCAAGCGCGCTCACCGTTCATAAGTCGCAAGGAGGCACATTCAATGAAATAGTTTACGGTTATGACAAGAGCCAAGATCAGCAGCTGGTGTATGTTGGTCTATCCCGAGTTAAGTCTCTCGAAGGTCTCTATTTGACAAACTCCGCCAATGTATGCAAGTTCCATCATGCCAAAGGCAGCAAGGCCCCAAAAATGGTAGAGTTGCGTAGCGAAACGCAACGTTTAGTGAACCACCGATTGCAGACACTTGGCGACGAGATCATGGGTGCAATAGAGGCTTGTGGAAATGCCTGTACGCTAATGAGTGTAAATGTCCAAAGCCTCCAAGCGCACTCCTTGGACATTGCTACCGACCGCATACTTACTAGCGTAGAACTACTGGCCTTGAGCGAAACATGGCAGGACAATGAATCGCTTATTGAAATTGACGGCTTCAACTGTATCGTTCAGTTTAAGCGACCGAATATGCGAGCAGGAGGTGTAGCCATCTACGAAAAAATCACCGCATCTACCATGGCCAGTTCTCACGCGATCGAGAGGCTTAGTGAGCAGTACGACGAGCAACTCCGAGTGGCTGATAGCTACGGCGATATCTGTGCTGCTGAAATTGTTATAATGGGCACTCCAACATTGCTGGTATCGGTGTACATTATGCCAAGTAAAGGTTTCATTAGGGGAAACGCAACTATTTGTCAAATAAACTATATATTTTCAACAGGCACTACGATGAAACAGAAGGAGTATTTCATTGCACGTACCTTGATGACATACGCCAGATGTACCATGCCTATGATTGTTACCGGAGATTTCAACATCGATGTGTCCAAGTCAGAGAACTCCGGTTTCATTGAGTTCATGAAGAGGCACCTTCGATTGACTCTTGCCACTGATCCCACGCAAGCGACCACTCTTGGTGGTTCGTGTCTTGACTTGATGTTCATCCGGAACATTCGTGCGGAATGCAAGAGATACTGTTCTTATTTCACATACCACAGACCGATACTGTCAATACTGAAGATTTGAACACAGTGCGTTTTACAAAACCAAACTCCACCAATATTAATTAGACTACTCTTCTAGGACAGGACTTCATCCAACCGATGATTAGAAGATCATCGTGTGACTTCAATCAACAAATGACGAACTATTAGGCCCAAGCACATCCTAGAAGGGACGAATATCAACATCACCCAACGGTTCTTTCGGAACCACAACATCAAACGGCCCTTTTAAGGGCCACAAATAAAATTAAAAGAGTTGATTTTAAAACTTAATTGCATATAATGGAAATTCAAATAGTTACCAGTGTCTACATCAAAATATGTAACGGCTTGTTTAGGACCATACATTTGAACTTTCATAATTTATTACATTCCAGGAAAAATACTTGAACCAACATTGAACACTAACAAAATTTCAAATATTGTTTTTATGTGTCCCACACATGAGTTGTTGCAACGTGATCAACAAATCAATATCTATGTGTCGGCCACATACTTAATATATGTACATATAAAAACCATGCGTGACCACACATACTATTCATTTGCGTGTAAATTTCATGTGTACTTCTGAGTGGATTCTGCCATTGTCGTGAATTCCGGCACTGTGGCTGCGACTGCACTCCGCGTAGCTCAGCATCCTTTACATGCGTCCACACTCTTGAAAAGTATTTTCCAAACTGATTATCGGGTCGAACCATCGTCGACACGAAGCTCTAATGCTATTCCTCTCTCTTTCTCTCCCTCTCGTCATTTCTTCTCTTTTCTTCGACGTTTCATGACAGTTAGCCACCGTACGGGATTCGGTACCTTTAGCCATAAACTGTATATTGGCATAAACATACAAATCCAAATACTTATGTTGCAATATATTTTGAATTCTATCAACCAAACGAACTTTTTTTTTTTTTTTTTTAGCAATTAGACTAAACAGTTTGTTGTAGCAATTTTTAAGTGCAAAAGCAACTTTTTTTACGAAAGCGTACCGTTTTTCCAAATTAATCATTATTGACTACTATAATCCCTACATCCTCCTTCTCCTGTACTCTCAAATTAGTATGGACTGTTTTGATGACTAATACATACAAAGCACCATCTTTGTGTATTAAATGATAGTTCTAGGTATAGGGAAAAGTTTAAACTAAATATTTGTACCACTTTGAGAAAATAATGTAAACTTCCGCAATAGCTAGCATCATCCTCCCCATGAGGAACTTCAAATGTCAAAAGGGTACACGAGCCAATTACTATGGTGATAAGGCACTTTCCTTTTTCTTCTGTAATGTTAAATTTAGTAAGAAACCACGGTCCTCAGACACTTACCACACCACAAAAATGACCCTCCCACCACTTGAGGGGCGACATTTCTTGGATCTGAGATTTAACTACCACCCAAATTATGTGATATATTGGCGGTTAAATTTCAGAACTTTCTGTATACTACTAATTCGTTGAAGATTGCATTCTTCTCCGTAAGCAAAGCATGATGTAATTATTCAAATTTATACAGAAAATCGATCGAAATGGGATATATAAACATACTCACTCTTTAAGTTTGCTGATTCGAATCGGTGCTACACTTCTTGACGTTTCGTTTGGCTGTTATCGTTCATAAATATAAGTACCTATACTAACGATCTTCAATCAATTGAATTCAATCAGTTCCTGTTTTCGAAAGTCAATGAAGATAACAAGGAACAACAGGGGAATGAAGTAAGATACGATAAGGTAGGATGAATTAAGAAGTAAAGAAAAAGTTTACCATTAAAAATTGTCTTCACAGTGCCCATTCAATTTTTATTAACATTAATCTGGAACAATTTCAATCAAAAACACTGTATGCGAAAATATCCCTGTACCTTTCAGGTTTCTTGATGCACCTTTTTGGTCTGTTAGGTTCCAACGAAGCCATCCCTTCCTTGACAGATTCCCGAAGGCTGCTATCGATATTTTTTGCCTGCTCTTCATCATAGTCGTCCACTGTTTTAGTGACAACATCATCTTTCTCCGAATCTTGAGTATCTTCGACCTCACCGTCTACCGAACGTGATAGCCTGGGTGCGTGCTTTACGTCCTGCACGTTACGAGCATACTGAACTCCTCCTTCGCTGCGAATAACCACCTTTGCACCGTCACGAGTCAAAACAGTGTATCTTTCCCTTGAAAACAACGGTTCCATTTTACTTTTCCTTGAAATTGCAACCACTACCTTGTCTCCCGCTTTAATATTGGAGGGCTTGGCTCCTCTATGCTTGTCTGCGTAGCTTTTGCTTATGAGTTTCGCCAACCCATCCTTTTCTCGTACGTCCGACTCGTCTACTTCTTTAATGGACTTTGACTCCCATAGGGCCGGAAATGCTCCTCGGTACCTCCAACCCACCAAAAGCTCAAAGGGTGTTATTCCCAGTCTGGAATGAGGCTTTATTGTATTATGCACATGAACGTATCGATCCAGAGCAATTCTCCAGTTAACTCCATCCTCCTTACTCCCTACCAGGGCTTTCAGGACCCCCTGATTTTGGCGTTCGACTGCTCCGTTAGACTGGGCACTGAGAGGAATTGACTTGCGTACTCTTACCCCTTTCTCTTCCCATTGATCTATAAATTCCGTGCAGCGGAATGGCGGCCCGTTGTCGCTTTGGATGATCATCGGGAGACCCCATGTTGCGAAAATTTTCATCAGAGCCGCATTTGTACTTCTCGCATCTATGCTTCGGATCTCCACGACCGACAGAAACCTGGAAAAGGTGTCAACTACTACCAGGAACTCTCCAGTGCCACATCCACGTACTGTGAGGAAATCAATTTGTAAGATTTCCCATGGTCCTTCCGGAAGACTGCGGCATGAAAGAGGAATAGGAGGATTTCTTCTTGAAATAATCAGGCAGGTTTTACAGGATTCCACGAACTGTTCGACCGCTTTGCCGATACCCGGCCACCAGAAATACTCACGAATGATTCGTTTCATCGCAGCACAGCCCAAATGGCCTTGATGGGCAGCTTCTAAAGCCCGAAGACGAAGCCTTTCTGGAAGAACGATCTTGTCATCTTTAAAAATCGTCGGTCCCATTGTCCGAAGGTATTTACGTTGTTGCTCGTATTGTCGAAGATGACCTGGCCAGGTCTTGGAAGCTAATGCTTCCCTAACTTCCAGCAGCTCAGCATCGGTTTCTGAATCCTGTTCTATATCTTTCCACGATATGTTCATTGAACCAGCATCAAGAGCATACAGCAAATGTTTATCATTGCTCTCGTCAAATGGGGCATCCGATTGCGTTTTATCTATCAGCCTTGAAAGAGCATCGGCAACGTTCAAATGACCCGGAACCCGCTTCATACTGAAATCAAATGATTGCAATCTCAGTGCCCATGCTTCCGCCCTTGAAACAGCCCGTTTACTAGCTTTCCTGCCTTCTCCGAAAATAAACTCATTCGCCTCCGAATCCGTTCTGATGGAAAAGGATTTACTAGTTAAGTAAAAAGAGAATCTCTCTACCCCCCACACGATAGCTAAGGCCTCCTTTTGAGTTTGTGGGTACCTCTTTTCTACATCGGTCAGTGCTTTTGAAGCACAAGAGATTATTCTTGGCGTACTTTCGCTGTTGTACTGTACCAGCACGGCTCCGAGTCCTATAGGGGAAGCATCCACAAAAAGATCTGTCTCATCTGTACTGGAGAAATAACCCAATTTGATAACTGAACATAAGGCTTCTTCCTTAAGGAACCGGAATTCGTCCTCTTCCCCGTCTGTCCAATAAAAATCATCTGATTTCGCAAGCTCTCTTAACCGCTCCGTCTTCTCTGCTCTTCGTAAAATAAACCGCTCCACGAAGTTGATCAGGCCCAAAAAACTCTTGACCTCAGCTTGTGATTCCGGTCTGCGAAAGCTTTTGATGGCTTTAAGTTTTTCATCCTCTATTTTGAGACCCTCGCTTGACAGGTTGAATCCCAAGAATTTGACCGAATGTTTTCCGAAAACGCATTTTTCGCTATTGAGACTAACATTGTGCTCATGAAGACGGAGGAGCACCATCTGTAAATTTTTGTCATGTTCTTCCTGCGTCTTTCCATGAACGAGGATATCGTCTAGATAGTTTCGAACTCCAGAGCAACCAGACAGGATAATAGTTTGACAGATTTCCTGGAAGATGTCTGGTGCGTTGCACAAGCCAAAGGGAAGTCTTTTGAACCTGTAGGTACCATTGCCCGCAAAAAAATTGGTGAGATGACGAGATTTCTCATCCAGAACTACATGGAAGAAGGCACTCGATAAATCGAGGGTCGAGAAAACAGTTGCTCCATTCAACTCTGCCAAAATCGATTCCAGTGTTGGCATTCTGAATGGAGTTCTGATGATGCATTTATTAGGACCTCTCAGATCCATAGCATCGCAAGGGCGTGCAATCAATCAAGGGCCACCGAGAGGGCCACGGTGAAACGTAAAGCTTCTGAAGACGGTGGCAACAACGAGGTACCGGTGCCGTGGAAAACCGATGTTAGACGTAGTCCTTAGCTTTTTGTTCCTGGCTCGAGATTTCTTCAACTTTGAAGACAAGGAAGCTGTTATCTTCCTTTCCGCTTCCAATGCCTCCTCCAATGATGGCCATTCATCATCACCGATATGCATTGACGAACTAAAAAAAATACAACAAGCAATTGTTTTACATTTTATTTACATGGTTTTCTGCTGCAAATTTTCTCAAGAGCAGTATGATTATCCAATGCAATTTTAATCTACTGCTAAGTCACGAAATTCCAAAAACTAATATCAAAATTGCCAATGATATAAGTATTCAACGCACAATAACATCAAACGCGACATGCGAGAACGTACACAGAAACGAAGAGCATTGTAATGAGTACCATTTTGTAGAAAACATTTGTTTTCATTAATACCATGGTAAATATCGTCACATCCATTATGGTTTCAGTATAATTGACTACAGTGCGGTCAAATGAAAATCATGTGGAATTTCACATGGATATTTGTCAAGAAAAATGTGTAAATTGTTTTGAGTCAACCATAACCGAAACATTGAAATACTTGAAAATTTTAAGATAAAGTATAATAGTCAAAAATGCATGAAAAACATCAATTTTGTGTGGTTCTACGTCATACTGCGGTCGTGTCTAGGACACAACCCTTTACTTTTTTTAACACGATCTACACGTTATTTCAAAACTTACAAAATTTGGGTAGAATCATCCCAGATCTGTCAAAACTGAACCTACACGCTATTTCAAAACTACCCAAATTTCGGTAGAATCCACCCAGATCCGTCACAACTGAACCTACCCAAAAATGGGTAAACTGTGTTGGGAGTGACAAGTTGACAAATGAACAACGTCGATCGGATTCATGTCAATGTTGTACATTTGTCAACATGTCACTCCCAACACAGATTACCCATTTTTGGGTAGGTTCAGTTTTGACGGATATGGGTGGATTCTACCCAAATCTGAGTAGTTTTGAAATAGCGTGTACCCAAAAATGAGTAAACTGTTGGGAGTGACAACTTGTCCAATGCACGGTAACCACAAAATACCCAATAATGACTACAAAGTAAGCATTTTCGAGGGAGACTGGGACTACCCATTAAATGAGTAAAAATATTACCCATTTATGAGTATTTGTTATTCAAAAATGAATAGTTATTACTTGTTTTTGTAGTTGTAATTACTCATAAATGGGTAAAATTTTACTCATTTAATGAGTAGTTCTAGCTTCCCTCGAAAATGCTTACTTTGTAGTCATTATTGAGTATTTTGTGGTTACCGTGCACTGGACAAGTTGTCACTCCCAAAAGTTAACTCATTTTTGGGTAGGTTCAGTTTTGACAGATCTGGGTGGATTCTACCCAAATTTTACTGTTTTTTTCTATGCGCCGTATGCGTAAGCATAGTAGTTTTGACTTGGACTTTGGTTGGTTATACCAACAATCAATACGAAACTAATGATTTTAAATTGGTTCACTACTTGACTAGCCTATTGGTCCCAAGCAAATTGATTAACGTATCCCATCCTAGTCGAAATTCTAGTACTACACAATGTTTGTTTTGATTCGCTATGAAAGTTTACCAGATAAAATGAGGGGTTAGTGGATTTTCCTATGTTTCGAGGGGTGAGTCGATTAGCTTGGAACCGAAGATAGTACCAGAGCTGAGCCAAAAAGTTGAGCACGTTTCATCGGGACCTAAACTATGAAAGCTCTTGTAAATTCGAAAAGATTTTTAAAAAAATATAACAATCCATGGGTTTTGAGCGAGGTTTTGAGAAACAAAAATACTGGATTGTTGAAATAATAATGATTTCTTTTTGCAGTCAAAACAAAATGAAATTCTTATTGATTTTATGTCGAATATTATTAAGTTTAAAATATTTTTTTCTGCGTGAGGAGTAACTGGCTGTAACATATTTTTTTTTAAAGTTTTTTTCTATGATGACCACCCTACAGAAGATAGTTGGTGAAACACGGCGAATCATCTGCACGTCACTGTCAGACAATCAGGAAAAAAAATCATTCAGTTTCAACACGAAAGTTTGTGCAACGCTGGAGGTTTTTACAAAATTTTCCTGTATTTTGGTGAAAATTTCTTTCAAATGTATGTGCAATCGATTGTTAAGTAAATAATGAAGCAATTGTGTATGCTGTACAGTGTTGAAAGCAGTTTTTTAAAAGTGAAATATGAATTTTCTTTCGGCTTTGACATTTGTTACTTTTTCCTCTGATCGAGATTCCCCTCCCCTTTTTTCTAATCTATTTTTTTTGTTATTCTTTTGATACCCTTCATTTTTTTTTGTTTTTTTTTAATTTTATTTGTTTGCTTATTTTGAAAGATTGTATGATTTGGAATTACTTCAATCGTGTGCTGTGCCTGTAATAATGTTCGTTGATGCTGTGGAGATAGTGTCAAGCATCAATGGAGATTGCCTAATTGATCCTTTCTGTGATCGAGCGGAAAGTGGGTGTTGATTGTGGAAGACAGCGGTTGTTGTGTAAATACACACGAACAAGCGTTCGTCTGTATTATTTATCCGCAGCACTTGTATATTGGTTGTGTTATCTTCACAAAAGTGATTCGATAGCAGTTTTGCTTGCATTTTCACGACCTGACGCTGGATTTTCGTTTTCTCTTTCATTTACAGAGCATCATGAAAGGCTTTTTGGAAGCGATTGATTGAACGCGAACCTAAAGGAAGTGTCGTAGCGCGTAGAACGACGTCAGTAATCGTCGATCACATACTTCGAGATAGAGAGCGATTGTGTTCATGTTCGAAACAGCGCTATCAATTGAGACGACCGTGGAAAATAGGAAACAAGAAATCTCATTTATGAGTCACTAACATCCGATTATCAGTGCTACAAAGCAACGTGAAAATGTCATCCACGAGCAGAGAAAATGTCGATTTGGAATGCTTCCTAGTCACCAAGCACTCATGGAAAGGAAAATACAAACGAATCTTCTCGATCGGTTCCAATGGCATTTCGACGTACAACCCGGAAAAATTCGATCCGACCAACCGGTGGCAATACAATGAGATCGTTAGCGTGTTGCCAAACAAATCTGGAAACGTATGTTAATAATTATAGCTTGCTACTGTTACAGTGACCACGTCTTAATTCCAATTCATATCTACCTATTAATATATTTCTTTTTAGACTGCCTGCGAGTTTGTGCTGAATTTGCGCAAGGATAAAAAAGTTGACACTATTCGACTTTCCTCTGAGTATCGAAATGAAATTCTTACCTCACTTCTTAAGTTCTACAAGGAGTTTTCAGAAAAGCCAAAGCATATTCTGGTAAGTGCAGAAGCCTTCGTTGATTTATTATAATATTCCCACTATTATCCCCCTTTTCTGTTACAAAACTATGTTGGAACTATTGGGTATCAGTTGTGCTTATTGCTCCGGATCTTATTCGACTGTTTTAGCCTAGCATTAGAGACGAAATTAGTCCTATTCAAATTCGTTCCGATTCGGTTGGATTGACAAGTAGAGTTATTTGCGCATGCAATCCACACCATTTCTAACTTCATTTTACTTTCTGTTTCAGGATAATGTAGAATATCCTACTGAGTCCTTTCAAAGTACAAGTTCATCGTCCTTGAACTCTACTACGAATTCCAGTTCATTGGCTTCGTCCCCCTCGTGGGAATCTAGTATTAGGCTAAATAGTTGGATTAGGATCTTAGTGTCGACGCTGCTACTGCAACCAAGCGTCAGCAAATGCTTGCCGTACTATGAGCTCGTGTCTCAAGTGAGTTTTTGCGTTACTTTTTGCAATATTTTTTTGTATATTTTTGGGGAATGAACTTGGTTAACATAGGACTATTATACTATAATAGTAGTTCGATGGTTCTGCACGATATTGACTGTATTTTTATTGGATTCATAAGTCATGGTATATAATTATCATATGCACAATATTTACTAACCTGGCTCTACATTACTTACGTTTGCGTATTATACATACAAGCTTGATATACACGGTAACAGCAGAATACTCAATAATGACCACACGCAGAGATTTTTTTTAATTTCAACAATATTCTGTATTGAAATCAACAATAATTGTTGTTTCCCGGCTAACGATAAATATTGTTGACACCAACAATTTTTTGTATTGATTTCAATGAAAATATTTTTTATTTTTATAATATAGATATCCTATATATCAAAAATTATTTTCATTGAAATGGCGAAAAAGTCTTTGAAACAACAATTTTACTGAATCCTCAATCTTTGTTCGTTGAGATAATGAAACAAATCTTTGATGCAACAATTTTTATTTGTTGAATAAAAAATTGTTGATTCAACTACTTTATATCATTGAGTCAATAATATATATTGTTGGCTCAAAAGTAGTCCTTTTTTGTTGTAATTTTTTTTTCCTACATTCTATTCATTTGTTGGTACATTTCCATAATTAATTATGCATAATATCTGTCATAATAGCGAAACAAATAAGGAGCCTTATCGAGCTCCTCTCTGCGGTAGCGGCAATTGATTACAACGGTCTAGTCCGCAAGGGTGAGAAGGTCCTAGGAAAGAGTAAAAAGCGATATTATAAATCAATAACTATTTCATTATTCCGTATTATACGTACAATACATTAAAAAGAATTACTCCAGGTTTTTAATCTGTAAATGAATTTCGTTCGCTCCGTCAAAAAGGGGACCGGAGTCAATTCTTTCTCTTCAAGGCGCTTGATAATGCGCAATGTTTCGGTTTCAGTTTAGCTGAAAACAACAAAATCGTTACCGTGCCAGCACCATATTTGACTCGTCCCTAATGATGAGGCACTCGTCTAATTTTTATCGCATTTCGATTTTGACAAGATATTTTTTTTAAACTTTGTTACACCATCTAATATTTGCAGAAGTAACATTTCACAAACAATGATTGAAAACAGTGGAACATTATAAAGTGCGTCGATTTAGGAACCGCTTCGAATATGGTGCCTCCACGGTAAAGTAATTTTCACTAACCCATTTTAATTTACTCACCGATAAAACGCCCAATGATAGTCACGGACAGTCCAAAGTCGTTCCACCAAAACCTGTCCGATGTCCGATGAATTCTTCCTGTGAAGTCACTTGGATTTTTAATTGCGGTTGATTTGTTGAATTGACGATATTTTTGAACACAATTTTTGTGTCTAAATAAAGTCCTTTGGTGTTCAAATTTGGCCACAACATTCTCTGAACAAAAAAGTTTCATATTTCAAATAATGAGCTCTTAAGGACGGTTTTTTCGCCCTCACGACGATATTTGGTAAAAGTATTGCCGAAACCGTCATTTACCAAGTATGTGTTCGGAGTCATATTAACGTTTCCAAATTATCTATTACCAATTCTGTCAAATACAGTCAAAAGCGGCTGAACGCCTGGTTGCAAGTGCAGATAAAAACATTAAAACAACCTAAGCTTAAAATATCTAGGGGAAAGTGGGGAAGTTTGTCCACCTTAAAACAGTCATCATTGATAGCTAACTGCTTCCGGGGAGCCTTTCGTTGTGTACTCGAGAAAAATGTACAATGCCACGCGTCGAAAGCACGACTACTGCTGCTGCTGATGACGACCGGACACCACCACTCACCACACGCGGTGACTGTTCTGGAACAAGATCCAAAATGACCGTTTTTTTTTGCAAAATGGGGATGTTTGCCCATAATAAACAATTACACAAATTTTCATGCAAATCAGAGCAGGTTGAGTTGCTATTTGACCTGGAACTGATCATATGAGAATGTATACAGCTATGTTGTTTTCGGCAATGTTGCTTGAAATGATGTTTTCTACAACTTTGCTGAAGACACCATTTGTCTGTCTTCACTTATGTGAGAAAAAAAATTGCACCTCACTGTTAAGAGTGATACATCCACAATTAATTATTACATTATTTGACAAACTTGTGGTATTTAAATTAATAGATTATGATGATATACTCATTAAATTCATATCTTTAAAAAATGTCAGTTTTTTCTCCGATCAACATCTATACGGGGCAACCATAACCATCAGATTGCATGTCCCTTCATTAGTTAATATGATCAAATTCGCTTCGTGTTAGATCGGTCAATCAAGCTCAAGCTCAAGCTCAAATTCGCTTCGTGTTAGATATTAATTCGCTGCACCATGTTATTCCAGACAAAGGTGCGATGAGTTATTTTCACCCATCAGTCAAACAATCATCAGTCGTTAGTGAAAAGCTGCTTTGTTTTGTTAATTTGATTGCCGCTCTTCCTGACAGTGTTATGCAGTGGATGTTATCCATTACAACCTCCTTTTATATTTTTTATCGATTAATCTGTGAAAGACACATAAAAACTACGCTTGAACGAAATGTTGAAGTAGGGTATACGTCCCTAACCTCGGTCTAATATGCAGCCATCGATTACGTTTTTAATCATAACTCATCAATGAATTTACCTGCAAACGATATTCTACTGCTAAATGGTATGCTTAGATATGCTTATCATGTCGTTTGCTATCAGAAACCACGAAAAGTTGAAAAACTTACTTTTTTTAAGACAATAACTCACGAGGGAAATGTATGTAATATGGGTCTATTGTCCCCAAATTGGGTCTATTTATGGATGCAACTTCGTCCTATCTTGTTTGATCCTCAAAAAAACGCTCTTGGTAACGTTTTCTGATGTATTTTTTTTTATCACTATCACTGTTAACTTAATGCTCTTCATTCCTCAAAACATTTCTTAGAGAAAATTTTACGAAAACTACATTAAATCACTCAATTTAAAAATTAAAAATTAAAAATTTCGCTTATCGTCTTTTGACCGCAGAATATCTAAATCAGAACATTGTGATGTTCATTATACAGGTTTGGCAGAAAAAATCTCCCTTCCTGTTCGTTCCTTATCATCCAAATGCAAAACAACATTGTTGACGTTACTCTTATTGCTATATGCTGTCAAATGAATTTCATGGGCCATAGTTAGGAACATAGAAAAGAAATTTGTCCCTAAAGTTGGGTCCATGTTTTACTTGTGAAAACGTTGTTAAACAATTAAAATAAACATAAAATATTCAAACAGCAACTGTAAGTTTTACGTCTAGTGTGTATTATCAGGTAATTCCAATCAATAAATGCCATAATCAGGCCATTTGATGATCGTCAGTCAACCTTCCCATCTTAACCTTATAAGTCATGGCGGCTAAAAACTCCGAACATTGTGATATTCTCAACCAGTTTTATTACTTACGAGAGCTGAAAATGTATTGAAATGTTGTGATATAAATTGATTTGTGTGTGGTACACATTTATCAACCATCAGTGATTAATATTTTCCTTATTTTTTGTGTAATATTCCTTAATTAATTATTTATTTGCGTGATAGGCCGAATGAAAGGACTAGACCCACATTACATACCGTAAACCTATTACAAATATTACAAGGGTAACTTTTTGGGATATTTCTAAGCATGAAACTATGTCAAATTGCAATAAAATCATTCTAAATCGACACTAAATAACATATTTAGCTTTAGTATGCAAGTTGTTACAGCAGTGCTAATCCCTCCCCTTGGCTAGTTTTTGCACCTTGTTGCTGGTGGGTGGGCTTAATTTCATGCTTTATAGTGGAGTGTTGGAGACGGTAGGTTTATGGCCGGCGTTGCTGGCTCATGCTGCGATAGAATGGCGCCATGGGCAGGCGAAGGGGATTACTAAGCTCCCCTTCTCTGATGAACCACTGCATGAGAGAACCAAAGATCTAGTCTAGCAGTGATAGTATCACACTTGTTACTTCTTTGATTGAGAGCCGCATTGTAGTACGCTTACGTATAGGCATTGACGTTGGGTACGATACTGACGGGTTTTTCCGCAAATCACTCTTATTTTATTTATTTTTACGCAGATAGATTTATTTGGGTTTGCACGGAAATTATACTATTGAAATATTTCAGAAAGTGCCCAACAGTGCTCCTTCTACTTGCATGACAAGCTTTCATTGTTGTTTTCATTGAAGTATTACTCAGGGAGCAATGTTAAACACCATTTTTGTACATGGTATTGTAACTTATCTTTTATATGCTTCATTTTGGTTTGGGATAAGTGTTTGAACTATGGCTCGGGATTTCCACTGTGGCGTGCTTCTATTATGATGTAATTTTGTGGGATGACATAATTTAAAAATCAGCTAGGAAACTAACTTTTAAAGTGAAACATTTTAGTCACGTGAAGGTGTCACCTGGGACGAACTAATATATAATAATAATAGCACCGACAAACCGACATGACACTTAATTCTGACTTATGCCCGAAAATCTTAAACGGTCAATTCAAATGTGCAGTGATCCGAACTGTCAAAACCATAGGGTTTTTTTATCTAGTTAAAAAAAATATGTCGAGAATGGATCAGACACGAACCAATTCATAACTTTTACATGCGGGTTCATGGCTTCGCTAAATATTTCCCGCGAATACGGAGCCAGATGTCAGGTGTGTGCTTTGGTCAGAAATTTTATTGTTTTTGCTATGGCCATTCATATCGGTTTGTCGGTGATAATAGGTCAAAATCAAAAACAACTTGAAACACGTATAATTTTAGATTACATGCACAAGTGCAGTGATTATGGGTTATAATTGATTAGGTAGATTAGAGATTATTAGAGATTTATTAAAGTTGGGTGGCTAATGAGGTATCATAATCATCAAACTTAAGTTCGAAAATTTAGACAGCTAAATAACATTAAGTAGATTAACAAAAAAGTTAGGATGCGGGGGGTCCGCTTAGGGAGGCAACTAGCCTTTAAAGCAACTGGCAACTAACCTTTTCATATATTGTCTGTTTATGTTGATGGTTGCTTTAAAATACCAATTTGGTATATATGTGAAAAGATGAATCAGTGGGAGATGGATTTTCGGTTTCTTTACATTTTACAGCACAAATCTAGTACTATGTGTCATTTCCTCAAACCCCCCAATTATCGACCTCTTCAATCCCTTCCTTTTCCCATGGCGTTCAAGTGGTCCGCATAGACTATTCAGCCATTTTCCTTTATCCTCGGCTTTGTATTGACTTGCGCTCCCATTGCCTCACCAAACGCTGCAAAATGAAAAAAAAAAAGAAAGTTGTTACAGCAGTGCTAATGCTTTCAATCTCGAGATACAAATATTATAAGACATAAATAACCTGAAAATTAAACATATGACTTGAAGCACCTCTAAATCTTCACCGATTTTGCTGAAAATTTGTCCAGGAGCTCAACTTAACACGAGGAACAATATTTTCAGTTGACCGTTCGGATTCCGAACATTTTTGTAAAAATGAACAGGTCTGTTTAAATGTTTTAAACTTTAAAAACTTTAAATTCTCTCGCAAATCCAGATCGCAATTCGTTCAAATCTTGCTCAGTTGTTGGAGACCTCAATACAAATCGAAAGGGCTAGGGATTGTTAAGTTGATCCACCGCCAAGGACGTTGTGGTGGCGAAAACAACGCCCGTGACAGACGACAAGGCAATGAGTTTTTGCATAGCATTTTTTCCACGACATTAATTTTGATGACATTTCGGCGTAATTTCAAGGACATTGCAGTGTACTCGTGGAAATTCTGGAAAGTACTCTTAAAGAATCTGAAACTGAAAAAAAATGTCCAAACAACATGAATTTTTGGACAACGTACCAAGAGGAGACTAATTAGGGAACGCCGAGGAGAATTCCTAAGCTATAGTATTAATAGTAGTTTTGGATTGAATTCTAAAGGTAGTTCTGACAAATTGTTAAGGAAATCAGCAATAGGTGAAAGTTTTCCTATTTCCTATTTTATTTCTGAACATTCTGGGACTGAGACCTCAATCAAACATCTCAATACGCTGGTCATTGAAAAAAATCAATAAATAATGAGTAGTAGAAATTAGCGTGATTCTGATACAAGCAGAAAGAGTAACAATTTCCAACATTTTTCAAGCCTTTTAAAAAAATATTGGATAACTGTATGAATCTGATACTTCTGAAAAAAATATTTTAATACCCGAATCCTTCGGATCTAGCCCGGGATCTGGGGTAATTCACACACTGGAACATTTTTTTTTTAGAAAAAAAAACAGAATTATTTAGGAAAAAACGATATCCAGAAAAGTATAGACGATATTTTGCCACTTCTATTTAGAACGCTGGCTTATTCATCTTTGCATATCTTATGTTGGTCTCCGTTCCGCAAGTGAGTGTCAATCACCAAGGCCAGGGAGGCGAATCCACCCCTGAACCCTAGATATCGAACCCATCAACACATGGGCCTGAACACCTCGACTGGGATTGAACCAAAACCTACTGGGATGAGAAAGCAGTCATGCTTTACCACTCAACCATCATCCTGGCACTTGTTTTTTATTATTAAGAAAGTGACGTCCTACGCCGCTGCCCACCCTAGCAGTAGCTATGCAGGAGCGCAAAAGAGACGACAAATTCACAAAACACCAAATATTGCTCTAAACCGTTAGTTTTAAGTGAATGGTGTCTTCGGGCCAATCTCCTGACGTGAGTGAAATTAGAGTGGTCCATATGGTTTTCGAGTTCTATATATTAACTTATCTAAATATATCAAATTGAGATCTAAATGTGTCGCACCCCTAGGTAAAAATATAATAACCTTTTGCACCGACGTCCAATCGATGTGCGGCCCTTAACAAACTTGTTCTGTATAGTTTTTCCAATCTAAGTCTCGGGTTTGGTTAATATTGATTTTGTTTTTAATTTTTGAAAAGCAACTGATTAATTTTTTAGCTCAGACATACATTTTCTCATCCAAAATTTAAATTCCCCCCGCCAATCCAGATTGTTGGGGACCAGAACTTAACAAACTGCAACATTGGGCCGGTCTATCTCAAATAATGAAAAAGTTGTTATTTAGAACTCACAATCCATAGAGACCACCCTATAGTTTCATTCACATCATAAGACTGGTTAAAAATTATAAAAACTTTCCCGCAATCACAATTTACCTAAAACCAAATTTTTCGCTTTCCTAAATACGGCTTTGGGACCATTGTGCAATGAACAAAATTATGTTGATTGAATCGATTCATCGCTGATTTATTGTTCTTATTATTATTTATTTCAATTATAGTTAAGTAAGACGTTACCGTAATGCCCCGAAATCCGGACAATTTTAAAAGTTGATTAACAATGCCTACCATGCTCAAAATAGCACGTAAATTTTAACATAACTTTATGTCATCGTTCATAATCATCACACAAGTTTTTTTTTTATGTTGCAAAGAAGACGAACCAATTAATTAAAAAATAAATGTCCGGATCAACGAACCATCCGGTATTCGCAGCATTACGGTTTATGGTTGCATGCGTCAAGCAAACGGCAATTCGCAAAGGTTCAAAATGCTTTTTTTTTCTGCATTTCAGAAATTCGACGCCTTCAAACATCATTGGTCGGGCACTACTCTGCCGGCTGTATTGGAGGTGACTCCCAGTTCCTTAGATCAACTAGACCCGACCACAAATACGGTGTTGGCCAGCTACAACTACAAAGACATCGATAATATCGTTGGCATTCAAGATTACAAAGATGGAATCGTCATTGCTTATGGTGGCAACAAACGATTACACCTGTTCCGGGTGGCCAACCATCACGATGTAGTGCAGATGATGGTCAACAACGCCCAACAGTACGTGGGCATCGATGTTAAGGTTTCGAAAAATCTTATTACGTTGGATCAGTTCGAACGAGAGAGATTCGGCGCATTCAGTGGTGATCAGTATCAGACTTCGTTGTCTGAGTTCATTATTCAGAAGATCACCCCACGACACTCGGAACCAATGCGACGAATACTGTGCTTAACTGATATCACCATACTAGAACGAGATCCTCAAACTTACAGTGTTTGTACTCTGAGACCTTTGATTGAAATATTTGCACTTATCCGTTGTGATGATAATATTCAACAGTTTTCAATCGAGTATAAGAACGGCTTAACAAGATCATATCTGACCAATGATCGGTAAGAAATTTTGTATGCAAAATGATTTAAACTGATTTCCGTTTTATTTATTTAGTGATTCCCTGCTTGCCACGTTGTTGGACGCAGTTCGTTCCTGTGGCAATCAAGATGTTCACGTGCGCATCTCAAAGACTCCTCGAGGAAAGCGTGTCGGTCCTTTGACTGCTTCCGTGGACGAAGAAACGGAAGCAAATCTGCTACGTTACATCATTAGTTGCTATCAATATCCAGTGAAACGGTTCGACGTCTTGGAACGATTCAATGCTAACATTCCGTACAGTGGACTGAATTACAGTGTTACGCAGGATGTAAGGGTTTTGATTGTGGAAATGGTGTTTTGAAACGTTTTATTGAGTATCATTGTTGTTTGCAGAGTTTATTTTCTGAGAATAAGGAGCGATTGATAACGGGAGCATTACAGGCATTGGTCGGTGGTGGGGCGAAGGAAGATATGAATCAGCTGAACAATGTTGAACTGGAAGCATCGTTTCATGTTTTGCGTCGATTATTGGCAAGCAAAGTGGGATTTGCTGCGTTTACCAATCAGCAGGGATTCCGCGAGTCAATTGGATTGCGAGTTGTGCATGCTCTGAAAAGGAACAATCTAGCTGTGACATATGCAGCCATCGATATGATCAATTCGCTCATGCATCCCATGCATACGGAATATGACCTAAAACAAGAGCAACTGAACAAATCATCGTTACTGCATTCGAAAAGTTTCTTGGAGCAATTACTCGATATGTGGACGAAACACGTTAACTTGGGATCTGGAGCGCTTGTCCTATCAGCCATGTTGGATTTTCTAACGTTCGCACTGTGTGTACCGTACAGCGAAACAACGGAAGGGAAACAATTTGACATGCTACTTGAAATGGTGGCAACCCGCGGCCGTACGCTCTACAAGATGTTCCAACATCCATCGTTGGCTATCGTCAAGGGCAGTGGGTTGGTGATGAGAGCACTGATCGAAGAAGGAGATACAGCAATTTCGAACCAAATGCAAACCCTTGCTTTAGACGAGGCGGCACTGTGCCATCACCTGCTGGTAGCGTTATATACTCCGGTTCACGATTCCACGATGGCAATCCATCGGCAGCTTTCGAGACATCTGGTGGGACTATGGATAACGGACCATAAAGAGGCAATGTATTTGCTCAAAAGGATATTCGTAAGTTTTGCGGATCGCCCTATTTTTCAAACATTCTGTTATAGTCTAAATGATCTTTCTATTGCAGCCTGCAGGATTACTATCGTTCTTGGAAAGCGAAGACCCTGTACCAAAGGAAGACACCGAGGAGGACAAGCTAAACTTTCGCGATAATCTTAAACTAGCGGTGCAACATTCCAGTAGAAACAAACGTTTGAACTATTTGATAGAGAAACATCTAGAAGGGATAAAGCATTGGGGTCTGAATCTGATGGATCGTCAGGAAAAGGTCCAGCAGACCATGAAAAATCGTCCGATCGTATTGCGCAATCGACGGCAGAAAAAGAAGACTGGTGAAGAAGTCATCAATTTGCCATTGTTTTTCTATCAATTCAACAAAAACCACGCAATGCCTAACTTGATTTGGAATCACAAGACCCGAGAAGAGCTTCGTTCTTCGCTGGAGAATGAGATACGACAGTTCAACGCAGATAAGGATCTTGCCGGTAATATGCTGGTAGCGTGGAACTACGAAGAATTTGAAGTGCACTACCAGTGCTTGGCCGATGAGATTAAAATTGGAGACTATTACATACGATTACTGCTGGAACGGGATGACTGGCCGCAGAATTTGGTGAAAAATCCGTAAGTGTTAATGGCTGTTTTTTTTTCTCTGGGAGGCGATTCAAGTAACCTTGTGTGTTTCAGAATCGAGCTATTCAATGCTCTCTATCGGAGAGTTTTATGTCGTAATAGACTGAACGATGATCAACTTACAGTAACATCGCTGCAAGCTCTAGCTAAAGTGTACAGAAGGTATTACGAAGAAATTGGATATTTCAGCGATATGCCGTACATCCTTCAAATGTTGGATCGGGTAAGTTTAGGGAGGGTTATTTTAAGTTCATTTGATAACAGTTTTTTTTTTACAGTGTCTATCGCCTGCTTTGCGAGATGCATTGATTGGCTTAATAAAGAATCTAGTGCTTCACAAATCCAACTGCCGTCCACTGGTAGATCATGTCAATTGTTTAGTAGATCTGGTGACGCTAGCACATTTGCACACGGGTCGTGCAATGCCCAACACCAAAACGAATGTCATAGAAGCAGGTCCTAACATGAAGCTGCACGAAGAGAAAGATTGGTACTATAACGTAGAGCGTGAGAATGAAAAACCTGAACGATGCGGTCCGGTTACATTCTCTGAACTGAAAGAGCTGTGGAACAAAGGTATATTAACACCCAGAACACGTTGTTGGGCCGTTGGAATGGACGGATGGCGCTCGTTGCAACAAATCCCTCAACTAAAGTGGTGTTTGATGGCCAAAGGCTCGCCACTTTATAACGAAACCGAACTGGCCCAACATGTCCTAGACATACTGATCAAATGCACGAGCTTCTTCCCCAGCCGAGCGCGGAATGGCGAAGCAGTGCTCATCCCGGGGCCACGACTTTCTCGAAAATTGTCAGAATTTATCTGCCTGCCACACATTGTCCAGGTGTGCTTGACTCACGATCCCGGCTTGCTAGAGCGCGTTGCAACACTTTTGTGCCAGATCATGGAAGATAACCCAGAGATGTCTAAAGTTTATCTCACAGGAGTATTCTATTTCATGCTCATGTATACGGGTAGCAATATACTTCCGATTGCAAAGTTCCTCAAAATGACTCACATGAAGCAAGCATTCCGCAGCGAGGAAACCAGCTCTCAGTCGGGCATTATGCATCGCAGTATTCTCGGCCAGCTGCTACCGGAAGCCATGGTTTGCTTCCTGGAAAACCATAGCGCCGAAAAGTTTGCCGAAACCTTCCTCGGGGAGTTCGATACACCGGAAGTAATTTGGAGCTCAGAGATGCGAAGAATGTTAATCGAGAAGATTTCCGCCCACATTGCCGATTTCACGCCAAAACTGAAAGGACACACCATGGCCCGGTATCCGTATCTCGCAATTCCTGTCATCAGTTATCCTCAGCTAGAGAATGAATTGTTCTGTCACATATTCTATCTGCGCCATCTGTGTGACATAAGGAAATTTCACAACTGGCCTATTCCTGATCCGGTACGGTTATCGTTATTATGGTGGTTTCTGGTTTTAATTAAAGTGTTTGTGTTGCATAGGTTCAATTATTGAAACATACGTTGGATGCCTGGCGCAAGGAAGTCGAAAAGAAACCTTCTCAAATGACAGTGACACAAGCCTACGAGGATCTTGGGATTGATCTGGCTAAGTTCCCCCAACCGGATGAATCCGTTATTCGCAAGAGTTACTATCGGTTGGCGCAAATGTATCATCCGGATAAGAATCCGAAAGGAAGGGTAAGTTTTGTTTTTATAATATCGCATCAACAACGAAGCACATCAACCATGTCGAAAAAGTCGTGCAGTTGTACACTAATCTGGCGGATGAATAATAAAATGGATGTAGTCTTTAATGGATCCTATACTGCCGTTATACGCATAACTGTCCCATGTTCTATACAATCTTTATGTACCGTGTGACTCTTATGCGTATAACGGCAGTATAGCACTACCCCGATAGTCATCCCGAATGTTACTCTAACCATAGAAAATGATATATAGGCTAAGTTGCCTAGTGACCAGTGTGTCAATAAAATACGAAACAGCTCATGATCAAAAGAACAAAAATTATCATTTATTAGGTAGGCTGTCCCTTTTTAAAATATGAGCTGTTCATTTGCTATGAAAACTTGTTTTTCAGAATTGTGAAATCATTTGATATTATGATGATGTTGCAAATTATGACTCTCTGAAACTAAAATTTACAGGTTTCATGTGTCAAACACATACTTTATGATCTCTTCTTGTATCTAGTATCTTATATAAGTGCAACATATCATCCTAACAACTAATGTTCAGAATTTCGAAAACCTTTTTTTTAACGCAAACGAATGGCCGCAAGCCTGAAAAGGAGTATGGTTGATTGGTTGAATATCCTTATTAGTGAGACCGGTTTCGGTACTATCGGTTAGACCACCTGAATAGATACGCTATCCATTTCAACATCCCCGCGCGTTCTAACTTGCCAAGGTGTATCTTACAATAGCATAATGTTACCCTTGTTCAATATTGTACGGAGGTGCCATTTTCAAATTTGCTTTTAATGTGTTATATTATGAAGATTACAAAATCTGATATTGTATGGGATATAAGGGTACCAAAGCCTAACATTCATTCCATGCACAAAAAGCTTATCATTTTTTTTTAAATTTTGTCGAATTTAAACAAGTTTGAATGATTGTTCCTCAAGCATAGAATATAGGTTAACCATTTATGCTTCTGTAGGAAGAATTATTTTCTGGTCAAACTAGTAGTATTTTATTCGAGTTTCGTTACGGTGGCCAGCTTGCCCCACTTGTCCCTAAATTACTTTATTGCAGATGCAATATTCCTTCGTTTCTTCGAACTGGTAGTTGTACATCGGATTCATTAAAAAAAATATGTTATTTGATCATGATTGCATTGCACAGTTCCAATATTTGCTTGTGTGACACGTGTGTAGCTTGAAATTACTATGGCGCATTATTACGTTATTTTCGCGAGGTTTTGCCTGCGGTATTTCAGAATATTATTCTCAGAACTTTTTAGTACGCCAACTACCTATCGAATACATTTTACGAAATTTGTATTCATACTTTATTTTGCTGTGTAGATTCTAATAAAAGGTAAATACTGAATCTTCTCTCACGTTACAGGAAATCTTCGAACGCGTCAATCGGGCCTATGAATTTCTGTGCTCGCGTCGGGGCAATACAGATGGTCCTAATCCATGCAATATCGTGCTTATCCTTCGTACGCAAAGTATTCTGTTTGATCGGTATGCTGACGTGCTGCGACCGTACAAATATGCTGGGTATCCGCAATTAATAAAAACCATTTGGCTGGAAACGAAAGACGAACAGTTGTTCTCCAAGACGGTGCCTCTGCTTAGCGCCGCTTCCGAACTATGTTACCACACTGTACACTGCTCTGCCTTGAATGCAGAAGAACTTCGTCGCGAGGAAGGTATAGAGGCATTGCTTGAAGCATATTCTAGATGTGTTTCGATCATGGGTGTCGATTCGCTGAGGGATTCGCTCCATTATGAAGTTATTTCAAACATAACTCGCTGTTTCGAGGTGGCATGCCGGTTCGAGAATTGCAGGAAGAAGATTCTTGAGCTGCCCCAGCTGATCGTCGATGTCTGCAGAGTGGTTTATTTCAAACACTCACTCTCGGTCAGCCTAGTCACGAGCCTAGCGGCCAACAACTACGACTTGCAGTGTAATCTCGTGCGTAACGGTGTTTTGTGGTCTCTGATGATTTTCATGTTCGACTACGATTACACATTGGATGAAAGTGGCGTATCAACAGACGAGCAATCAAACAATCAACAAGTTTCAAACAATCTAGCAAAATTATCTCTTTTGGCTTGCGTTTCTTTGGCCGGTTATCAAATGACACTTTTGGACGATCCAAAACAGTCGACTGTAAAGTCAGTCCCCAAATCGGATCCCACCTCACGAAGTGATTCTCCACAGCAATCGTTAGCTATAAGAAGCAACTCCCTGACCCAGTCACAAACTTACTCACAGAACGCATCTAATCTCATACAGAACAACTCCAGTTTGATTCAAACGGCTGCCATCATCGATCGTACCTTGCAAGAAAAGTCTGAATCTCAACCGTTGGAAACGGTTGAGCTTTCGGACTGTGAGAAAGGATTGAACAATAAGAAATACAAAATATCTACCGTTGATCCTGCCAATGTTATGGTCAAAAAAATGCTTGACCAAATGTTGACGGCTTTCGTGGCAAATAAAATGGTTTCTGACAAAGAAACCGAGGTTCTAAAGCTACTCAATTCAAACACAAGAAATCCATATCTAATCTGGGACAATGGTACGCGAGCCCAGTTGTTAGATTTCCTCGAATTTCAGCGTACCAATGCATCCAAAGAACAATACGAAGACGTCGCAGACATTCACGAAATAGTGAAAGCATTCTCGTTCGATGCTCATAGGTAAGGAAGCCTTAGTTTTGGCTATGTTCTGCATGTAACATTGATTTGTTTCGTATTTCAGGGACGAATTGAAGATTGGCGGCATATTCATTCGCATTTACAATGAAATGCCCACGTTCCCGATCATCAATCCGAAGACGTTCGTGATCGATCTGCTGGAATTCCTCAAACAGGCTTACAACCATCTGTCCGCCAAAAACGTCAAACCCTTACCACCTCCACCAGGTGGCAACACCGTCAATAGTCAAGGTATTCTCATTCCCACTAAAACATGGAAACCATTAGTTCCCACCAAGAGCAATCCAGTGAACAGTAATATCATCAACAATAATAATACAGGTGGCCCACAACAGAAACAACCGGACATCACCGCCGTTCTAAGTGAGTATAGCCGCGCAAGACAACGAAATCATCTGACCAGTTCGGGCTCGGTTCCTTCAGACGATGCTTCAAAATCGTACGACATTGCTACAAATCCCAATGCAATCAATCACATTGTGATGGCCATGAAGGCTTTGATTGCCGTCATAAAATCGAACACCAATGTCGAAATTCAATGCATTGGGCACTTTGAAATGCTTTTCGGATTTCTTTCGTCCAGTTTGTGCGATCGTGATAAAATACTCAAATCTCTGGCACTGGAAATTGTTTGTCTAGTGTCTCGAAACAAAGAATGCGTTACGGAAATCTCGGCTTGTGAGATATTCGGGTTGTACTTGGTTGCCTTGAAGGATAAGGATCTACGCGATATGCAACTCAAAGTGCTGGAGACGCTTTCAGGACTGCTCAACGTTCCCAGGATGATCAAGGAAGGACATTTGAAAGGAGCTGTGATTTATTTGCTAGATCTATTCTGTAACTCCAACAATCCGCAGATTCGAGAAAGTTGTGCAGAACTTCTATCGAAGATGAATGCCGATAAACTCAGCGGGCCAAAGGTAAGGACGGTTATTAACTAAACTAATTTCATCTACTAATCCGTTTTCCCCTGCTCAGATTCGCATTACGATGTGTAAATATTTACCATCAGTATTTCTCGACGCGATGATCGATTCACCCTCGGTGGCCGTTCAAATGTATGAATCCACCCACGAACACCCGGAACTGATCTGGAACGATCGGATACGAAGCAGTGTGTCGGATGCCGTGCATGACATGGCAGACAGCTTCTTCGTTCAACAAAAGCAGAATTCGAAAACGTTATGGCGAGATCCTGAAGTGCTGCCCGATATCTGCTCCAACGAGTTGGTAGTTTCTGGAGTATATTTGAGATTATACATTTCGAATCCAGGTTGGACACTTCGCAAGCCAAAGCAGTTCCTCGCAGATTTATTGGATTTCATCGTTGACAACATTAGTCGGAATGGTGTGGATAAGAATATCCTGGAGATTTCAACGACTGCCCTTGTTTTACTACTGAACGCTCAGCCGAATCTTGCAGATTCTGTTCCAGTATTGGGTCACATACCGAAATTCTTCCGTCAATTATCGGTTCAACCGAAGAGCGCTCTCACTGTACTACACCAGTTGTCACTTTCTGATGTAAACATTGCCGTACTACTTATTTAATATAAAAAAATAATCTCATAATTTTCCCTGTCTGCAGATATGTGTAAGTGCTATTTCCCAAACCGATTGTATTCCTGCGTTGAAATCTTGCATGGAAAGCCATCGGGAACTTGTGGCAACAGCATGTGAGACGCTCAGTAGACTCTTCAAGTGTCAACATGTAAGTTAAGAACTAGTCAAACAATCATCTGAATCCTTTGACTAAAGAATTTCATAAAATTCCAGGATTCACTCATACGGCAATCGTTGGAATGTCAATTGATTCCATATCTTTTGGGTTTACTGGAAGGCCGTATTGAATCCGCCACGAACCCGGCAATGGTGAAGGCACAGATTGTAGCCGCATTGAAGGCCATGACATCGAACTTGACGTACGGCGATCGAGTGGCGCATATCCTGAACCAAAATCCCGTCTGGGCAGAATATCGTGATCAGAAGCACGATCTATTTATCACAGATACCAACATTAGGGGCTATCTGACAGGTTAGATAGGAGTGAATCTTGCAATGATGGTGTATAAATTATAACGTATTTTTTTCCATTGCAGGAGCCCCGAATACCACCGCTGGATATTTGACTCAGGGTCCAGCAAAGAACGTAGAAGTGCTAACTTCACCGCCACCAATGGATCGTGATGATCCACTGTTTTCACGTAGCAGCAGTAACGATTCGTAAGTATCGTTGACGATGTTCGTTTCTATCCCATCTTTCTACAAGCACTTGTGGCCAGAATAGGTAGACGTAACATGTCCCACACACTAAACAACTTCGAACCAGGGTCGCCATTTCGTCTAATAGTTTATAACTCCGTAAATGAACTGATAAACATAATGGCTAGCTAGCATTGAGAAAAGAGTAACTGAAAAAGATCTAATAGTGACATGCGCATTATTAAACAAGTAATGATTTGTAATATATCACCATCAACAAATAGCTTATAAAGTATAACTACAAAATATATGAATAAGATACTGGATTTTTATTATATTGTGATATTTTTAAAATGTAATTTATATATAGAAGTCACAATAACGTCAGAAGGAAAATAAAATAAATACAAAACTAGAATAAACGCAACTCGTCCTATTCATCCCTGCTGTGATAATCCTTCTAAATAATTTCATCATTTCCTCATCATCCTCATCATCCTGCCAACTCAGACTGCAGCATCCAACTAGACTGGGGCACCAGTGCAATAGATTTGGCAGACGGTGGATGCGACCGACCGGGATCTGGAGTGGAGCGAGTTTGGGATAAAAGCTCACCTAGGTAGTTGTTGTTGAGTAGAGTTGAGTCGATCCGTTCGCCGCGCGATCCAATGCAAGAATTAGCGCGTGGCTCTGAAACCGCTCTCTTGTAAACTGGCTGTTGGTTAACTGTCAGACAAATATTGGGAAAGTATATTGAAATATCGGAGTAGGAATGCATGCTCGTGATTCATTGATTCTTTGATTTATACGATGTTTCAGTCGATACTTGACGTTCACCAATTTTTCAAAAGTATATTGTTAGAAATCAATTACCTATTGGAATCGATACGTAGAGAAAATTCTGATCAATTGATGTAACAATATTGAAAATGTATCATAAAATAGCAGAATTATAATTGTTCGAATTCTGACCACTTTTCGCTACAAGTTCATTTTTCGTACTAGCAAAGTGTACCCCCATATCTAGTTTTCCAAGATCAGTAATGGTGACCTACGCCACTTTCCCCCACCTTGAACAGAGGAAAATGAAATGGTATGTGCTAACTAAAGAGACTGAATTGGGTATAGAGGCGACATCTTAGGGCCTGTTCATAAACTACGTAGACAGTTTTTTGGGATTCTTGACCCCCCCTCCCCCTGCGTAGACAATTGTCCATACAAAAAAATTAAAATTTGTATGGGCCGTGGAAAATTGTCAACCCCCCCCCCCCTAAACTGTCTACGTAGTTTATGGACAGCCCCTTATCCATTTGACAGGCCTTCTGCTCGATTGGAATAACTTTTCCTATGACTTTGACAGATATTCAATTGTTCCAATTTTGACATATCGTCTCTTTATAAATTCAGGCTCTTTAGTGCTAACCAGTTAGTGATAAAAATAATAGTGAACGCTGAATTTTAAAACTCGTGCAAACCGCCATTACCGAGCGTGGAAAGTTGGATAGAAAACACATACGCAGTCTTTGGGGGACCTCCTTCGAATGGGTGAAATCATTTGACGAAGGCATGGATCATTCTCATTTGAGAAACCCTTGATATCATTCAATTGAGTGTAACCCTACACATAAACGGAGCTCTGGTCGACATTCCGACGAAAAAGCTAAGCCAACCTTAACCCTATGGTGACCCTACATAAACCCAAAATTGATCCGACGACATTGGGTCGACATCGACCTTAAATTTGCCTTACATTGATCCGACATCGGGTCGACTTTTATGTTCTGGACCATTTTGCTGGGTTTCTTCCATAATCCACTGTCGTAAATCAAATTATAGTGAGTGACTCAATTGACAGTGACGACGAGCTTCGAATGAGAAAGGGGCTCTTCAAATTATGGTCATGTGAGAATTCGTTTTCACAGAATTGATTGAATGGTTGTATTGGTTTATCTTCAATCGACTGATATGAAAATTAACAGCACTGGTAGGAATGCGTCGACGCGATACCCGCTACACAGAAAAAAAAAGTTGTTTAATATTACATCCAAACTGCTGCAACCAGGTTAATCCATCGGTTGTGTAAAATAACGTTGTACGATGTACATCGATTTTGCGAACAATATTACATCCATTGATGTAATATTGTATCTGATTTTTGCTATTACATCATTATTTCATACATCAGCTCATATATGATACTTTCAGAGCACCTAAATTTACCTGGGGGGGGGGACGTGCTGTCAAATCAGCCTACTGATCATTCTTGTATGAAACTGGTTCCAAACGTAAACAAACGCTGTAGGTTTCTTATGGCTTGTTTACGTTTGGAACCAGTTATGCGAGGTAGGCGACGATTGTTCGTATTTGACAGCCACCTCACCCCCCCCTTGAAATTTACATGATTTTTTCTAAATGTTTAGGTTTTGATTCTAAGATCCCTTCCCTGGAGGTATCTGAACATGTTCGAAATAGCCAATGTAGTCATAAACGACTAATATGGCAATAATATGTCGGGTTTTGAAAATTGTGAAATTTGATATGTCACATGCTGGTATTTGATCTTGTCGAATTTTGGTTCTTGTCAAGAATTGACTACTTCCCCAGGGACACCGGAACGCAATGACATTTATATACGGTCTGGGCCAACAGGCAGCTTGCTAGTGTTAGAAGCAAAAAATGTTGTGAACATTGCTGAACATCTGCGAACAGATAGAAGACCTTATATAAACGTCATTGACCGGAACGTACCTGACATTGATCAGTTCACGAAGATTTGCCGCACTCTTCTCTCACCCGTAAGTTTTGACAGTTTTGGGTGGTTTGTTTTGGCTCCCATTCGTTGCTATCTCTTTTACTCAGAAGCAAAATGATAGGGAGCAAAAAGTGAGGTTAGGGACCGTGCACTGATCTATAGCCAATAGAGCTTTTTGACGTTTAATCGGCGCACACTACTGTACCATTAAAAGCGAACGAGTGTGAGCAAGAGGGAAACAGATTAGTGGGAAAACAAACCGTCCATTCATCCATGTGTGCTAGATAGAGAAAGATGATTAAACATCAAAAAGGTCAATGAGACCGTGAGCTCTCAATAAGGCCTTTACTGCTTGACTTTTGCAAAATCATGATGTCGCACGAGTCGCTGGACCCAACATGCTACCCGAACATGCCCGGGAGGACTAATGGGACCGTGAACTCTCAGCAAGGCCTTTACTGGGGAGTTTTTACCAATCATAATGTTTGATATGTAGCATGACAGGTTTCGGTTCGTGTCGAGAACTGGCCACTTCCTTGGAGCAGCGGCTCATATCCGGGATGGCTAATGTGACCGTGGGCTCTCAATAAAGTCTATACTGGCTGAGTTTTGTGAAATGATGAACACAGATAAAAATATTTTCTATAGTTCAACTACCAACTGGAGCAGGTTTTGAAATATAACATTACACTTTTAATTATCTGAATCTCAATGAAGTAAAGCTGTAATTTACAAATTCATGTAAATTTATAGCACTGTTCGTTGAAAATTAAATCAAGTTCAATTGAATTGTGACCGAGCTTTTGACATCCATGTAAAATCAATCATGCATGTAAATATAATACCACAGACAAAATAATACAATGCAAATTAAAGTATTATTAAATATTTACATGTGAATTTAATGTTTGTTTGCTGTATGTTTCAACTAAGGGCAGAAACTATTAATGTGTCAAATGTAAATTTAAGTTTTTGCTGTGAAGTTTGATATGTCGCCCGACCGGTTTTGTCGAGAATTGCCTGCTTCCCCAAGGGCACCGAAACATATCCTGGAGGATCAATATGACCGTGGACTCTCAATTAGGCTTTTACTGAAGTTTTACAAAATCATAAAGTTTGATGTGTTGCAAAACTGGTTTAGGTTCTTGTCGAGAATTGTCCACTTTCCTGGGGGTACCAGAACATGCCCGGCAGGGCCGATGCGGCCGTGGACTCTCAATAAGGCCTTCTCTAATCGAATTTTGAAACATTGTAAAGTTTGATATGTAGCATGGCAGGTTTCAGTTCCTCTTAAGAATTGGCCACTTCGCCGGGGGCACCGGGCTTCGGTGAGCCAATGTGACCATGGACTCTCAATAAGACCTTTACTGGCCGAGTTTTGTAAAATCATGAAGATTGATGTATCAATTCTTCACACCTCATCTCATCTCACTTGCAACTCATCGACTCATCTCATCTCTCTTCACCTGTCACTTCTTCTCATCTCATCTCAACTCATCTCACCTCACTTCACCGTTCCTCACCTCAATTAACCTCACCATGGTGGAACAAAAATTCGATTCAGTAATGGGGAAAAAGTTCCCAAACTCAATGGCAGTTTTGAGCAGTTTTAACACTACATATCTTTAAATGCCCCATCACGGGTGCAGGACATAAAGAAATAACATTTTGGTGATAATGTGGGTTTGGGACACAACTCGAATTTTTGCAACGCTTATTAGAACTTTTTCCCCACTATAGATAATTCCAGCTTCCTGATAACATATCAAAATCAGATACCCCTAAAAACATCTTCAAGAGAAACGCAACCATACCCTGAAATAAAACTATCTCTTCAGTGCGTGTTCTGAGGGTAGTTCTGGATCGCACCATAAGCTTCGACCAGCACTTCAACACGGTGAAAGAAAACGATCACTTTACCTTCGTCAGAAAATCTCCGCCCACAGCGCTCTAGCAACCGTGAGATCCACCTTCGTGCCACCCGGGCTCTTATCGACAGTCTTTTCTACGGTCTCGAAATTACCTGCTTAGCCACCGAGAAGCTCAACCGCATCCTCGCTCCGGTATACCATCCACGCCTGCAGACGCTGCAATCGGAATCCTCCCTTCCCGTTATCGATCTGCTGTAGCCACTGCTACGACAGCTACGACAGGGTCTTTCTCCTCAACGAGTGGAACAGAGCCCTCCGCACTACAGCCAACCTTGACCTCCCCCCGGTGACCAGGGTTCACTGGCATGGAGAGAAGAGTTTGCGATCAAACGTTGTTGCCGCTTCAAAATACAACTGGTAAACCGGACAGTATAGGCAGCCCTTCATCATGAGGGCGGCCGACAGTCTTCATCGTGTGGCGTCATGACCTTGATACTGCTTCATCATTAAAGGCTTTGTATTCAATAAGGATTTGCGTAATGTACATTGGCGTAGCTAGACAATTTATCTGGAGGGGGCCTAGATAATTCTGAAGGAGGCCTAGATAATTCTTGAGGGGGGCCTAGATTATTCTGGAGGGGGCCTAGTTAATTCTGGAGGGGCCTGGCCCCCCTGGCACCCCCATTAGCTACGCCAATGGTAATGTATTGCCAATAGTGAATAGCTCGTTTGTCGAAGAATTGATGATATAACCTGCTTCAGGCAATCTAATATATAATCGACGAGTA